TTCCTCAAGTATTTAAAAGCATCAAAATTTGACTCCTCTATACTGACAAAATTGAAATGTTTTTATTCTTTATTTATTCTTTTTTAAAAAAATGGCTTCTGGTCTTTATTTTAAACATTCTTTAATGCTTTCTGAACTATTTAATCATTTGCTCTTGGTATATTCCCTATTATTTTAAAAATTGCATCTGTTAAACCAATCCATAAAAAGAACTTGACTGCAATAACTATAGACCAATATCATTATTACCAAATACCAGCAAAATTTCTGAAAAATTAATGTATACTCATATCTATCGCTTTCTCAATATTTCTAAGTGTCTCTATAGCGCTAATTTAGATTTTGTTTAAAGCACTCTAACCCATGCCCTTATTAGCATTACTAAAATGATTCATGGTACAATTGATAGTGGTTTTTTTGCTTGTGGCATCTTTATCTCGAAAAATTTTTAATGCATTTGACCACAAGATTTTAATTAAAAATTTATATCACCATGGTATAGAGGTTATCACTAATGATCGGTTTTCATTGTATATTGAAAAATCGTATTCAGTTTATCTCGATAATGGGTTTCAATCTACAAATAAAGTTATCAAGTATGGTGTCCCACAGGGTTCTGTTTTTGAGTCTTCACTTTTAATATATATTAACATTGCCTGCCTCACTCTAATTAATTCAACTGTTCATCATTTTGCTAATGGTACTAATCTTCTATTTGTTAATAAATTGTTTGTGCAACTTAAAAAAAAAGTTAATTCAGATCTCCATCATTTGTGTCACCAGTTATATAGTACCCGTATTTCTTTAAATATCAATAAAACTGAATTTATTATTTTTCGCCTTCAAAAAAAGGATTGATAATGATAATCAGCGTGCCAATAAAGATGGCGGTCATGTTTTTGTAATGCAGAATTTTTGAATTTATATGAGTTTATTTATATTTTAAATAGATAGATAAAATGCTTTTTAGTGCACAAAAAAAAGCAAGTGAAGTTGATTTATTAACATTAAAAGATTCATTTCAGTTATTAACACAAAGAATTTAATTATTATAGGTTGAAAATTCAATATTGAAAAATCATAACTGTACCCGAAAGCAGTGGCACTCAGAAGATGCTCCATTAAACTGGGCATAAAACTATTGTTAAAAATGATAAATGTAAATCAAGCAAAGAATTAGAAGTAGTTAATGCCATTGTTGCTATTAATAAAGATAAAGAAAAAAGAGACAAAAATTTAGTTGTATTTTTGGTCTTCCTGTATGTTAACAAAGGGATTATTGAAATGTTAACAAAGGGATTATTGAAATGTTAACAAAGGGATTATTGAAATGTTAACAAAGGGATTATTGAAATGTTAACAAAGGGATTATTGAAATGTTAACAAAGGGATTATTGAAATATTAACAAAGGTATTATTGAAATATTAACAAAGGCATTATTGAAATGTTAACAAAGGTATTATTGAAATGTTAACAAAGGTTTTTATTGAAAAATCTACTGATTCAGATCAAAGCAAGGAGTTGAAAACGCAAGTTTTTAACTTGAAACCTTGTCTGAGTCCTGTCTGAGTCCAGTTTAATAATGAAGAGACACAAATACAAGTTTTATGTGCAGCAAGAACCCGAAAGACAGCTTTTAAAAATGTTTTTTTATTGTACCAAAATGAAGCTGAAAAAAAGTTAACAAAAGAACTTATTATTCAAAGAAATGCACAAAATCAAGATTTAACAATAATAGATAGTTTCAATGAGCTTTTTAGTTATGGTATCTGTGCGTACAGAGTTGTTAAAATATAAAACCCAAAAAACTAAAATTATTAAAAAAACAACTAAAAAGTTAAAAAACATTGAAGAAAAAACTAAAAAAATTAAAAACTGTGAAGAAAAAACTAAAAAAATAAAAAATATTGAAGAAAAAACTAAAAAAATTTAAATAGAAAAAATAAAAATAAAATCAGTGATGAAAAACCACATCTGTAGAGTTGGTACACCAATACAACATCGTTAAACAACAAGTATGAAAACTTAAAGAAATTAAAAACAAAAAACCACTAGTGGATGGAAACATGGTGGACAAATGATCAACTGACATTGAAAGTTATTAACTTTATAGAAAAGATTGTAAGCAAAGGGTGGCAGTGTTTTTATGTTGCCAACAATTTAAATTCATATGAAATTATTAATGAAAATGTAAATGAAAAAGGGTATATTGAAGCAATATGGTGTGTAATAGAATGTGGTATTAAAAACATATTATGTGTATTTACCGTACTGCAGATATCGTACTGCAGATACCGTACTGCAGATACCGTACTGTAGATACTGTACTGTAGTTTGTTTTATTGTGAAAAAATGGTCAAATTATTAAAGTATGCATCAAATTTAGTAAACAGCAAGAAATACAGTGGTTTTCTGATATGTGGTGATTTTAATTTTCGTATGATTAATTGGAATGAAGATAATATAGGTACAATAGAAAGAAAAAATCTGTTCAGTTATTTATAGATTATTTAAACAAAATTTACGTATTCCAAAATGCAATTTTACCAAATTTTCCAAAAAATGTCAGTGAAACAACAAATGTTCTAGACTTAGTATTAACTGAATCATGTAACAGAATTTATAAATACACCACCCCTTGGTAATTTAGAACATGGCAATCATATATCGAATTTTAAAGTGTAATGGAAAAAGTTACCAATAATAAAGACTATCAAACAAAATATCAACAAAGACTATCAAAAGACTATCAACAAAGGTGAATATAAAAAATTAAGTAAATACTTTAATAATTATATATGGTAAAAAGAACTTGAAACTTAAAGTGTTGATGAAAGCTATTTAAGATTGTTAACAATCTATGAAAAAGGTTGCAAAATGTTTATCCCTTAAAATCAATAAAACAACCAAAACATTAGAAAGATAAAATCATTATGGTTGACTAAAGACCTAAAATTAAAGTTAAAAGTTTAAAGGAACTTATGGTACAAAATTAAAGCTGCAGGTTTTAAAAATATAGATGATTTTAAAAATTACAACAATCTTTATAAGATGTTAAAAAAAGATTGAAAAAGCAATAATGGAGCATGAACGTAATTTAGTAAAATAATCAAAATCAAATACTAAATATAACTCTAAAACTCTAATATAAACAGTAAAACCAAAATAAATAAAAATATTAGAGACATAAGAGATACAAATGGTGACGTTGAAACAGATGGTAAAACAATATGCAATATATTAAACACATTTTTCAGTTCAGTATTCATAATTGAAAATAGTATTAATGTTAATAATGAATAGCATTATTTGAAGAAAAAAAAATATTTATTAGTTGTCCATACTCAAAATTTGAGAAATAAATAATTGAAACAAAACTAAGCAAATAAAGAATATTGAAGGAATGCTCACAAAGTTTATGTAAACTATTAGAGTTAATATTTAATCAATCATTCGAAAGTGCAACTCTACCAAACTTATGGTTACATGCAAATATAACACCATTGCATAAGAAAGGTGACAGACTTGAATCAGCTAACTACAGACTATTTTCATTAACATTAATTGTATGCAAAGTCATGGAAAGTATTATCAGAGATAAAATAATGAAATATCTTAACAATAATAATTTAATCTCAGTGCACCAACATGGTTTTGTGAACAAAAAAATTGTTGTACAAATTTACTAGAAACAGATGTTGTCAGTAAAGCGTTTGACAATAATATTCCAGTTGACATTATATTTCTAGACTTTGCTAAGGCATTCAATACTGTGTCACATGAAAGTTTGTGTATAAAATTAGCTTGATATGGTATTATTGGTGATTTGTTGGATTCGGTTCCAACAAGTAGTACTTAGAGAAAATATTTCTGATTGGACAGATGTTATAAGTGTTGTTCCTCAGGGATCAGTACTTAGACCATTATTCATTTTATACATTAATGATATAATGTTAAAAATTGGTTAGTAGAATTTAATAATGACAAGTGCAAGATTATGCATAATGGAAAAAATAATCCTAAAAACGAGTACTTGATGCCTAATAATTCTAAAAATAAAACACATGCCGCTAAACTAACAAAAACAACTTTAGAAAAAGAAATTACCACATTAACTATACAGTCAATAAGGCTTACCAAAAATTAGGCCTAATAAAACACTCTTTTCAATGTTTAGAAAGAAATATAAAATTACTATTTACTTCATTAGTCAGACCTCATCTTGAATATGGATTATCATTATGGAATCATCATTTACAAAAACATATCAATATGATCGAATAAGTCCAACAAAGAGCAACTCGTATCCACAGTTTAAAAGGTCTATTACACGAAAATAGATTAAATAAAATTAATCTTTCGACATTGAAAAATGAAAAATAGAAGGTCAAGGGGTGATTTAGTGCAACTATACAGGTTTATGAATAACTTAGATGTAATTAATTTGTACAGTCCTCCTATATTTATAGAAAATTCAATTACAAGAAGGATAAGAAGTTTACAAGAAAATAAAGAATATGTAGACAGCAAAGCAAAAAAACAAACAGTTGGCAATTTTTTTATAAATAAAATAGTGGACGAATGAAGTCGTTTACCACAAGATGTTGTGGATGCGAAAAATTTAAACACATTTAAAACACTTTGTGACAATTATATGCAAAACTGTGAAAAACTGTTACAGTCTGACATCTACTGGTGTTAGACTCTATGCGCTGTAATATGTATCACAGCTTGTTTGTTTATTTTATTTATTTATTGTAATTTTAAGTAAATAAATCAGCAAATATATTAAAAAAATAATGAAAATGATAATGTGAAAATTAGAATTAATGGTAAAAGGCGTTTTCCATCTAAATATGTAAATTATCTTGTATTTCATCATGGTACTATTGACTAATTCAATTAAATAAAAAACTATCATGTGTCAATAGTATTTTGTCATTAGTATGACACAATGTTCCTTAACATATTCTATTAATTACTATTCTTTATTAATTTACTATTCTTTATTCTCTTTCCATCTAAGCTGTTATTGCAACAAGATAGTGATAAAGCTTCACACAACCTTGAAATTTTAAAAGATTTAATTCAAAAAACCTATTTTGGATATTAGATCGTAAAGAAGAAAATGTCATAATTCTTATGGAAGTACGTTGTAAACTGCTTATACAATTTAATATGAAACTTCCTTTTTGACCTCAAACATGCATTGTTTGAGGTCAAAAAATTGTATAAAAAAATAGTAATTAGTAGTTAATCCATTTTAGTAAAAGTTTTATAATTATTATTATAATTTTGCAATTGTGTTATGTTTATTTTTATAATTACTGTCATAGTTATAAATTTTAATATAATTATTTTAATCATTTTTTTTTTTTTTTATTAATTATGATTTTTATTATAGTTTATCTTATCATAGTTTATTATAATTTGTAATACTTTTTTATTCATACTAAAATTATTATTGTTATCATTATTATTATTTCTATTATTTCTATTATCATTATTTATCAGTGCTTTAATTTATTTATATATTTTTTTTCTTCTATGTTTTTATGTTATATTATTTTTTTTTATTTATTTTTTTTTAATTTAAATTTTTTTATGTTTTATTGTATTATTATTGTAAATTTCCATTTTTTATGGTGAAATAAATGGACAAAAAAAAAAGGTTTATTTATAATGTATACACATATTATGTATATGCATAATTGACATCATATTTTAGTGTACGGTATTAATATCTTATTTTAGTATTATTTCAGGCTTATTTTTGCTTTTTATGTTATATGTAATTTTTTTTGTCTTTTATGTATATATGTAATTATTTAGTGGAATACTGTATGAAGACTCATTGAGTTATCATTCTGGAAGAAAAAAAAGAAAGATAAAACATTGGGGGATGGACGGTTAATATCTTGTTTTTATTAAAATTTAGTACTTATTTATGATTTTCAAAATGAATTATTTTTTAACTTGACAATATTTAGAAACTTTGCGTTTTTATAAAGCCCTAAGTGAAATAGGTACTGATTTTACATTGATGGCAAAAGCATTTGGACGGTTTACTAGAAATGAACTCAAGGTCTTCTAATCTTCTTTGTATTACTACTTTTATTATCATTTTAAATACATATTTTAAACTGTATGCTGCATATTTTATGGTTTTTTAAGTGTTTCTGCTTATAATTTTTTTTCGCATATATATATATATTTTTTTTTTGCAATTTAGAAAAAGTTTAAGCAGGAAGAGAAAATTAATTGTGATTTAGTTGATAGAGCATTAAGTAAGTTATATGAGTGTTTTTGTTGTTATTATTGTTAATGATATTAGAATAGGGTAGATTAGGGTATTATGAGCAACTTAAGAGAAAATTTGAATATTTTTAAGAATACTTATGTTGAATTAAAATTTTAGCGAATAAACAATTTTTAGGGATCACTACTCATAATCCAGTTAGTATTTTGGGACTCTACATTTTTTTTTTAAAACACAGAGGTTTTAAAAAAGTAGTTAAAATGCTCTTATCACCGAGACCACTTGGTAATATGAGAACTTTTAAGTTTGATTCATATCACCCAGACCACTTGGTAATATGAGAACTTTTAAGTTTGATTCAAAAAATAGCATTAAATTAAAAAATAACAACCTGAAAATTAAAACTGATAAAATATAATGATTTGTTAATAACAAAACTTATCATTAAAAGATCAAATTTTAAACTATTAAATTTGTTAATAACAAAACTTATCATTAAAAGATCAAATTTTAAACTATTAAATTTAAAGTTACAACTTTGTTTTATGCAAAAAAAAAAGTGTTACTTTTTTCAATTTTATTAACTCTAACTTTTAAACAATAAAAATACATTTTTTTGAATCTAAATTACAGAAAGGAATGTTTTGAATAATAAAATAATAAAAATATTTTACTATATTTTGCTTAAATTCAAAAATTTCTGCTTCAATCAAAAAGCATGCTCATATTACATAAAAATGTTGTTTTTAAATAAAGTCAAAAATAAATGTTTCTATGCATTTTTTTCCAAAAATGGATTTCTAGCTAATATATTTTGCTTTTTGAAAAATAAAGTATTTATATTTCAACATCAAAATTTTGTGCCACAGATTCTTATGTAATTATAATATTTTAATTATACGAAGAGTTACTGAGTATAACTTTACGCTATTAATCCTGCTTTTATCATCACATAAAGTCAATTATAAAAGTAACTTGAACTTCACTGCTTACATCCTAGAAATCATTTGGTACTCTCATATTATCTAGGTGCTCATATTATCCGATTATTATTGTTACATATAATGTTTATATGTTGTATTTCATTTTTAAAAGAAAATTATTGTGGTTATTTTATATGACCATAATTTTTATTTAAAAACGTATTTATCACAAACATTTCAAAAACCATCATCATGTAATAGTATTTTTAATTTTAATTTTTTAATGGTTTTTTAAATGTTTAAATTAAAAATAAACGATTAAATTTTGAAATTATTCAACTTTTTAATTAATGTTTTATCATTGTTCCAATAGATTAAGTTAAATTATATTTTGCCAAATGTTTTCAGAGTGTGTTCTAACTAAAGGTGTTGATCCTAGAGATATATTTTGCAGTAACCTGGCAGTCTTTAAAAAAATGAAATTGGCGAATGAAAATACAATAAATATAGCTAAAGAGGATGTAGAAAAGGCAATCCAAATATTGTTTATTTTAATAGAAAATGTTGTTCATTTTGATAGAAAAAATCTGCAGCCATTTTTCAAAACCCAAAGATGGTTTTTATGTATTTTAAGGAAAACTTTTTTAATTGCTTTTTTCTCAAAATAAAACATTCATTGTAAAACATTCATTGTAAAATATTCATTGTAAAACATTCATTGTAAAACATTTTTTGAAACTAATAATTTTTATGAACTTTTTTCATAATTCTTTAAAAATAAATAAAACATTCATTGTAAAACATTTTTTTAAACTAATAATTTTTATGAACTTTTTTCATAATTCTTTAAAAATATTTATTCAATAACGTTTGTTGGCATCTAAATTAGCTTATTTTGTAAAAAAGTCAAATTTAGTTTTTTTACATTCAGGCCTTTTGAAAAACGTCTGCAGAACTCTTATTTAAAAAAATACAAGGAAAAAGTTCAAGAATGAATAACAAGCTGGCAGTTCTTTTAAACATTGGGAGCGAGATGCACTGGGCAAAGCATCAAGTCTATTAATAGACTTATTTTGAATTCGAAAACAGTTATTTGTTGATGCTTGGCTCACTTAACAAGCACATTTGGTACTATGACTCAATTAAGATTCTTCTTTGAGAATTTTCTTCTCATGAGAAATAAAAAGTTGTAGCTGCACTCATTTTAGTCTGAAAACTTCAAGTTTTCATATCTTATGTTTAGCTCTAGACTGTTGACAGAAGAAATGACTGGCATACCCCATTAGTGGCATAAACAGGCTTTGTTCAAAATTTTTTCAAAGTATGCAATATTCGTCAATTCTTTGAAACCATTTGAAAATAACTATTTGCATGGTGCAGAAGGTGAAAAGCAGCACAGATTACTATCTGAAGAACTTTGCAGAACAGATTGCTATCTGCTGGCAAAGTTTATTTTGCTTTTAAAATTGCTAGGAAAAGCATCATCAGTTAAGCAAAAGAAATTATTAGTCTTTTTTCCTTCACCTTGAAACCTTCACAAAATCTTGATAAATATTTAAAATAAATTATAAAAAAACTTTTTGTTTAAAAAAAAAAACAATAAAAAAACAAACTCATTTAATAAGAAAAGTAGTAGTTATAATAATATATTATTATTGTTTATTTAAATATTTTTATTATTTTTTCTATTATTAAGAATTTTTATTGTTATTAATTTATTATTAATTAGAATAATACAAATATAAAACAAATATAAAATGAGTCTGGTTCATCATTTCAAATTTGCTAATATTTTACCAATAATTTGATTTTGAACATTTTGAATTTGTAAATTTTATACTAAATAATTTCATTTGTAAAGCTTGTAAAACTTTTTCCTCACTTTCAGTCAGGGTGTCAATTTGTCAGGCTTTCAATATAATATAGATAACTTAAAGTAATTATTTTCTCTAAATTTAAAAAAATTTCCAGCACAAATATAAGAAATTTAACTTCTGCCATTTAGGCGGGTCAGGGTACAACATTAGTTTTTACCGTGTCTTATAACATCTGTCCAACGACATCTGTAAATATAATGAGGTATAACATCTGTCTAACGACATCTGTAAATACAAAGAAGTATAATAACATCTGTGCCATTACATCTGTAGATTTTTAAGATGAAGTTAATTTTAAGATAAATTAACTAATAATGCATTATTTTAACCAGATGTAGTTACATATAGAAATTTTTTCAGATGTAATTACATCTAGACAAAATTCTTCTAGATAATATTGGACTAAAATTTAAAGATATTATTGGACTTAAATTACCAGATGTAGTTACATCTTTTTAAAGATGTTGTTAATAGTCGTTGAATTTTCAGATGATATTGGACAGATGTTGTTAGAGTAAAAGAAAAGTACAGACGATCTTGAATAAAAGTGTAAGATGGTCTTGCACTACTCCATAGACGTTGTTGGACAGATGTCGAAATCTTTTACCATTTTGGCAATTAACATATGTAAAACTTGGAAATAATCTTTTTTTTTTAATCAATATTTTTCAATAAACTTGCATGAATAACATATTTATCAAAAATATTTACAGCAAGTAAATCAATAATTTTTTATGCAGTTAATTTAGATTTTAAAACAAATTTTTAAAGCTAAGATACTCAACTTTAAAACGACCAATTTTAGTTTGTATTTAATAAAAGTTTTTTTTTTTTTTTGTATATTTAATTTCTAATAAGATTAGTTTTCATTTTATTTCTGACTAAATTAATTTTTATAATTATTTATTTCGTAGTTTTTTATTTTAGTTTCATTTTATTTTCAACTAATTTTTTTTTTTTTTTAGCATTTTAATTGCTATTAAAATTTAACTTTTTACCAATTTTAAAGGAAATTAAACTTTTCCATAAGAACCGATTTTCTTATATATTTTCAAAATATTTTTTCTTGGTTTGTATATGTATATTGTGTATATGTATATTGTAAAAAATTATCTATTTTAGTCTAATCTCCTATCCCAAGTTACTCTATTGTTTATCGTTTAAGTTTATAAACCATACAAGTATGTGTTTTTTTAGTGAATCGTCTTCCGTTAGATATGAACACTTTTTTAGCCGGTAGAAAAGAGAGAAAAATGCTTGAAGAAGCGGAAAACGATGAAATGAAAAATGAAGACTTTAAAAATGAAGCAAAACACCTAGATTTTGTTATTAATTCGGATGAACCCTTTTTAACTAGTCGGCTATCAGAATTCCAAGCATCTCAAAGCGTGTAAAGGTTTGAAATTTCTTTAGATTTTTCTTTTTTCTTAACTTTTACCATACTAAACTGTAGCGTTTTCGATTACTAATTTGAGGGGGGAGGGGGGAAGAGGGGTGATTTTAGGATAGCTTTATTTTTATTTTTTTTATTTTTCCCAATCCTCTCAAGCTTGTTTTACTAATTTTTAAGCTAAATTCGTTTTATTTATTTTTAGGTTGCAAAGCATGTCGGAGAGTTATGTTATTGACGAATCAAATAATTGGCTGCTGGCGAAAGTTTAACGACTTAAACAAACCTACAAAAATTCAAATCAAAAATGTATTTCGTACAGCAAATCTTCATGTGACAAGAGTTTACCACAATGAATCTTACATAAATTATATTTATTTATTGCTAAAATAAATGCATGAATTTTTAGAATTTGCATTTTTACGCTATTATTTGTTGACTATTTTTTATATAAATTCATATAAGTTATATATAATACATATATAAATATAAGTTATATATAATACATATAAATCCATATATTTTATAAAAATATTTTAAAGAACGTTAATTTTTTCTACAAAGTTCCAACTTATACAACGATTGAATATAGCATCCAATCAAAAGATCTTGAACTGACCAAATTTAAGTTTTATGTTTATTAATTGAATTTTAAGTTTATTATTAATTTTAAGTTTATTATTAATTATTTATATGCATAAATCTCTTATTTACTTTTGTAAATACATAGAAAAACAAGTTCACGCAGTGAATTGAGTAAAAGAAACTTTAATAAAGTTGTGTCATTTAGCTGCAGCCTAAATAATTAAAAAATCAACATCTTTCGTCTGCAGATATTGAAAGGTTTCTGGCACCTAATAGACTTTAGTATTCATCAAACTCAGTCTTTTTAAGTTTTCGGTTAATGCTGCTATGCACTGTGTCCGCTTCTTGAACTCAGGCATGGCCTCTAGTAGTTTTTGAGTATATCTGAGACTATTTAAAGACTCAAAATCTGGGTGTGTATTTAAAAAAAAAAATTACTAACAGTGCTCATAATAATGCTTCTGTTAAGCAGATAACAGGAACTATAAATCGAGGTTTTAAAGCTGTGAATTCGTGGTGAGCGCAAACTCTTATATTTTTAGAATAGCAGATACTATATCATTTCCCAATTAGCCGGACTGGCCTTCGGACCAAAAACAATAATAAAAAATATCCAGGAAAACTTCTTGCGCTGTAGGGTGAGTCTATAAAAAAATTACTTTTTATGGGTACCCTGACGCCATTTCTGACTGCATCAGGAATTTTCTTTTTTGTATATTTGCTTTTTATTCTTGGAGTAGATTTTATCTATTTAGAAATATTTATAAAAATATGAAACTTTTGTCTAAGAAGGTTAAAAGAGTGTTTAAAAGAATGACTTGCATACTCTGATGGGAATGTCTTGAAGATGATAAAGTAGCTAATGAGCACATCTGCTTTAATAAAATTGCCTGTGTGCTATGAAACTGTGCTTCAAATTTTCCATTGAGTCCCTAAACGTTTTTAGACAGTAACTCTCGTTGTTTATTTTACACAAAACGTTTTTATTAGCGCTGCTTATCTGAAGAAGAAGACAAAAAAGTAACAATTTTACTTTTACTTGAATTGGAATGATAACTAGGTAACAGTAACTAGGATCAGTTATTCAAACTAGGATAAGGATCAGTTATTCAAATTATTCGAATCAGTAATCCTATGTAGATATACAACAACTTCATGTAGATAGGGTAAGGCGAGTTCGTCATGTTTTACTTTAACAAAATGAGATTGCATATAAATAAGTAAACTTTTCTAGTTTAAAAACATGTTTTTGTTAATTAGAGTCTCTACTTTGTTGATGTATTGAATCAAAATGAATTCTAAACTTACTTTAGCGTAGAACTTGATTTTTTCATCATCAAGTCATGAGGAGGAAATTCGTCATTTACGGGGCGAATTCGTCAGTACAACTAAACTAATTGAAAAATACGTCACTTGGGCGATAGACGAAATTCCATACTAGTGGTAAAGACAGCTTACCTAGGGAAAAAAAAAATTTGATATAAAGCATTTTTGGAGTAATATTAGGATGATTTCCGTATTCTAGAACAGTAAACCCCTAAGTGATGTAAATAGAACTACTAATAGCCTACAGGTAGGAATTACGCTCAGATAACGACAAGATAGAATTACTAAAAGTCAGTTTCCTGATTTCTAAAACATCTAAAAGGATGTCATTTGTTAAACTTTTTCTAGAAAATATCAAATAATGATTTTGGCATAAATGAAAACGCACAAAATAACACGTTAAAGCAATAACAAAAATTATATCATCATGACTATTTAAAAACTTAAAAGACGTTTATATGTTCTTTGCACACATTTTCCATATGTATTAACTCCAAAACATCCTTCGCATGCGAACTTAAACATTTAAGCCAATCTTCGTTTGCTTCTCCCCAAACTACACAAACACTACAAAAGTCTTTATCAGTGTTATTTTTTAGAATAAAACCACTAGATGAACTTGAATCAGAATCAGCTGAAAAATAAGTCTTCATTATTTTTGTTTTGACTGATTATCTTTTTTTTGTTTTGACTTCTGTTTAACATTGACCATATTTTATTAGAGCTTTTTTAGCCGGAGGCTCTTTTATAAACTTAACATTATCTGGTGATGTAGTAAGAGCAATATGGCGTTTTGAGTCAGTAGGTTTGCTTTTTATCCGGAGAAGATACAATAGTCATTAAAACAGATAAATCTCTTTTTTTGTATTCGAAGTTTTTCACTGTATTTCTTAGGGAATGCAAACCGCAATAGTAAAACACATTAACAATCAATCCTCTTTTTGTAAGTATGTTGGGCCATACTTTGTTAACAATAACGTGAAATTTGCAATATTTTATTAAAAATAATATGAAAGTTTCAACGAGGCATAGAAATATTATCATTTTCAGCTAACCGATTAGACAAGGCCTAAGACAACATAAGTTTTACTACTTTATTAACATGTGTGTCAAGTGGTTGAAGGTGATGTGTACTATAACGTTGAATGCATATTATTTCAATACCCATCTATATTAATAATTAAATTGCTTCAAAATAAACCGTTCAAAAAAAACAGTACTTTTTTCCCATCGACTTTTGTAAGAAACTCATTAAAATGATATAAAAAAAGTCAATAAACATCTCTTAACCAATATATCCGCTTTTACTCAATGTATTTTTGTACCCAAAGGAAATTTAGATGCATCTAGAATCTTTTTTCCTTTAAATATGAAAAAATGGTGGTCAATTGTCCTGTGCTGCATTGACAGTGGCCAGGTATTTTTTTAGTGTGCCACGTTCACCAATAGTTAACTTTTGTACCTCACGAGATTCCTTTACACAAAACCACTTGGTACAGATGAAAGGCCGCTTTCATCACAATTATAAATCAAGTTTTACATACTTATTATTTACTATACATACATTTTAGACTATACATTAAATAAGCTTGTTTGTATGTGTATTTACATGCGTTTACATCAGAGTCGCGTTCATAATTAAAACTTTAAAAAGTTTTAAAAAATTAACTGTAAACTAATATATTCTGAAAAGCCTCTTATAGATAAAATCTGAAGATTTGAAGTACATTTTTAGCACAACTTTATTTTCTTTCAAACGGTGCTCCAAAGTTTAAAAGTTTGCGTGATTAAAGAACCTAATTTATCTTAAGTATCTTTTCTTTAACGACGAAGTTGCCCCTCATTTGAGCATGTGATAACAACCATTACGTGAAGGTTCCAAAAGAAAAAACATAGCAACTTAAGTTATTATTTTAAAAATATTGACATCGACCTATCGAATAAAATATACTTTGTGGTCAAAACATCGCGTATTTTGATCATTTTTTTGACGATAAGCATTTAAGCAGAAAAATATTTTTTCAACTTCGATGTTTACTAACAATATTTAAAGAATAATCAAATGAAAATATATAAACACTTATTTAATAATATTTTTTAAATATCAGTTGAAAAAGTTTCAAAAAAACCTAGTAAATAGATTTCTTAGTTTTTATGCATTATTATGTTAAAGCTGAGTCGCATAAGTGACGAATTCGCGCCGTGACGAATTCACCTTACCCTAGTAACATACAGTTTCAACTAAAAACTCTAGTTTAAATAGTGAATAGTGACAATAGTAATTTACGTTTTAGAGTATTAGGATTATTATTATTACTTTTTTTAGTTAAAATTTCGCTTATATAGTCGAATGCTATTGCGGTCTAAAGCTTATTATTAATACATACTAAAATACCTATTTATAAGATTTTGTAAATGAAATTAAAATTTTATATAGTTAAAACATGAAAAATATTGATACTTATGCTCATATATAATACAAGAAAACTTGAACTTGGCTAATCCTGATATTTTGGATGCTGTCCATCTAAAATATTAAGATTCAAGTTTTCCAAATCCTAATATTTTGGTTTAAAAAATAGTTTTAAATCAAAATTTTAATATTATTATATTTACAAAAATGTTTAAACTTTAGGTTCTTTTTTATATGGATTACGTAGTAGTTTCATGAATTCTGATTAATTTTCAATCAGACTGCCACATTAATATTAGTCTAGTTTATAACATTGATGCTTTAAGAAAATTTACTTAAGCTAGTAACTATGCAAAATAAACAGTTGCCTGGTATTTCAGATATCACTATCAACCAAGTAAAAAATCAATAGCACCACTACATTTGTAATATAAAAATACTCAATGTGATAATTATGGAAGTAATACAATAAAGTTATATAATACAGTTTATATTTGTGAAGGTTAGTAAAATATGTGGTTGCTAAGCAATTTAGGTATCCAAAGCCGAGCAGCCGTGGCGCAGTGGTTAGAGTTCTGGCTCAGAACTCAGAGGTCCGAGGTTCGATGCCAGCTCTAGCCCAACAAGCGACATTGGTACGGTAGGAGGCCTAAACTTCCTGTTAAATGCTCACCCGCGGTGCTCTATGATAAGACCGTAAGGACTTCTGGGAGCACCTAAATACATACAAAAAAAAAAAAAAAAAAAAGCAACCCAATATTAAAACTAATACCACCATTAAAACCGCAATCCTCAAATTGAACCCGTCATTTCGAAAAGGGCACAAGTCCATTTATTCAAACTTTTCAGGATCAACAAAAGCAAGTTTATTAGAAAAAAAGTCTATGGTGCTAAATAAACTAAAGATAAAAGTAGATAAATAAAAGTCATACATAAGTTTTTAGAGTTTTATTTGTTATAAAAAAATAATATATAACACATGTTTCTAATTTAAATTTATGGGCTTATGTCGTTTTCGGAATGAACGCTTTTTTGTATATAAAAAACCAAAGATTATCAGATTTATAATGATTTATTATTACATAAAAACAATTATTGTTAGGTATTATTTCTTGGAATTCATTGTTTGCCGAAGTTGTTGGCGAAGCAAAAACCTTTGTATAGAAGTTTTGGTACTCTTCTATTGAATATGGAATATATTTTTTCATATTTTTTTCAAATCTGATATATTTTTTTCATTGATAGACAATTTTCCAACATATGCAGGAGTACTACTTAATGGTAAGGTTGATCGGGTACCCATCCTTTGTAATAGCTGGAAATTATAACTGACTAAGCAATCTATCGATTCACGTGTTTTCACTAAACCTGGTGTGGTATTAGAGAATGTGAAATGTGAGATTTTAGAAATACCAAAAGTAAGTAAGTTTTTTGTCCTTGGGTACTCCTTTTCCATAGGAATGCACAGATAGCACAAGTTTCTTATAATGGTTTGGCCACCATTTTTTTACATCAATAATATCTTCAGTTTTGGGCCTTCTAATTTCAAATTTTTTGCTTGCTTCAGCTATAAGATTTTTATACTCTGTTGGTGTGTAAATCCGATCATTTTTTTGAATGTCGCTTTGCGGTTCCAAATATTCTATCGTTTGGCAAGAATGAGTGACCTCTTGTTGGTATGTAATATTGTATCTCATTTATATTGCTATCTAGTTCAGCTACCAGTGATAAAAGTATTTGGAACGTGGCATGATTTCTGTTTTGGCCTGCACAACCATCAGAAAATAGGTGCAGTTCTTTGGCTTCGTTGCCAATATTTTTTAAAATATAATTCAGCACAAAGGTACATACTTCGTTTGGATATGCTCACGTACTTTTGTTAATGTATCTCCAGGTAATGCGTTGCATCGTGATCACTGAGATTTACCTCTGTAATCTATAGACTGCTCTTTTTTTTTCAATAAAATGCATAAACGTCTAACTTGTTTCATTGAAATTCCATGCATACAGCAAAAAGCTTTCTTGCGTACTTTTCTCACCACACCTTCAATCTTAATGTAATAAATAAAAAAAAAATCTTTTTTCTTAGGTTCTTTAGATCTAAACCATCTTCTCTCTATTTTCTTCTTTTTAATCAATGACTGCAAATATGTGTCTTGGGCATTTTTACAATCAAATTTGTTAACAAACTGAATTGTACTCTCTATAAAATCTTCAGATACAAGCTCCATACACTTTGAGTTACATCTGTAAATAAATAGAATTATTAAGGTAATATTATAAAAACTAGCAGTAAGCAACCCGTAATACGGGTTGTTAGTAAATAAAATTAAAAAAAAAAAAAACCACGTATAAAATAGTCTAGAAACTACTTTAAAATAGAAAAGCCTAGAAAATGACGTCGACTATTACTACTATTAAATTAGCGAATTAATATTATCAGATTATATATCAAAATGTTTTACCTCCAATTATTGGTGGTAAAACATGAGTAAATAAGCATAAATTTGAGAACGAATATAGTCATACTGTAAAGAACAAAAAACTATCCTGCAAGAAGCACCCGTTTGACGTGGTGCCACATCATTTCCTTGGTGGTTTTTATGAGCTTCTCCAGCAATTTTAGCTTTTTTTATTTTTTCGTGTTTATAATTTCCACTGTTTTTTTATACCAGACACTCTTTTTTTAGATCTATATGCATTTTCAGCAAGTTCGCGATTTTCCATTTTTGTTACAAATAAAGTGAAATTACGTCACTACAGTTGCGCTTGAAAAAGACATAAGTCCGGGACTTGTGCCATTTTCAAAGAGACTTTAATTTTCATTTGCATTTAAAGTTGACTTGTGGCATATGAAAACGTTTCTCCTTCAAAGGGAATATGTAAAACACTTGAATAAATAAAATTGCATTAAAAAGTGAAATTTGAAAAAAGTGTGACTTGTACCCTTTTCGAAAAGACGGGTTCAATTAGTAAAGAGTGCAAAAATGGTTCTTAAATCTTTTTTATATGTTATTAGTTTTGTCCAGAAAATGTAAATTCTGGCCCGCTGTGCATTGTCTTAAGCGTTTTTATACGGCAATTTTAATTCAACTTAACGTGCTGTTTTGACTTTTTATGACTTGAGACTGCAAGGGAAAACTTTTAATCTTTTTTGTTTTGTCTGTAAAACATTTTTATTGGTAAAATTTAGCATTGCGTAATTTATGAACAATCCCTAATCAAGTATATTTCACTTTTCGTTTTGTCTGTAAAACGTTTAACGCGGCGTTTTATCTTATTATCATATAGGTAAATTTAAAAAAACATTTGAGATCCGATTTTTTTTTATTAAAAATGCTAACTTGATTCCGTATAAAATATTTAAAGTTAAAACTTTTCAGAAATGTTAACATTCCGCTTTGCGGCGCATTGTAAACACACTACATTGGGGTTTGTTTTGGTTAAATTGGGTCGGTGTGTGCTTGTTTTCAGGATTATTATCTCAAAACAGATTTTGCAAAGTAACAAATAAACTTTTAAACCACTAGAAAAGTTTTTAAGGCGATTGCTGAACTGATAAAAGATATAACAAATAAATTATGAATACTATTGAAATCTTTATACATCATTACTTTGAACACCTTGTCAAAAAAAGGAAATAAATACAAAATGAAAAAAATTCGTCATTATAAATAAACTCGTCACCAAAAAATAAATATTTAATACAAACACACAGCAATTTAGAATTTTTGTTATAAATACTTAAAAAAATTAATAATACCAAATAAATACTTAAAAAAAATTAATAATAACAAAAAATTTGTAAAATACATTTTAAAAACATGATAAAAATTTATACAAGAAAGTTATTACCAAAAAAATGCTTTTCGTTAATGTTTCATCGACATGTGTGATAAAACATTTATCTACTAAATTTTATGAAGTTTGTTTAATTTTGCCAAAATTAAACAAACTTTATAAAATCTAAATGTTTAGACCATTAATAAATGGTTGTTTTTAAAAATATTTTAAAACCACTTTTCTTAAGTTAGGTCAAAAATCACTATTAACCTGGTTCGAAGTAAATGCAACGCAAACGTCAAAAAGAGCAGTTCTGCCCTACTTATAAGATAGACAGTAACTGCAAAATTTCCATTCAGAAACTTTTAATATCATCAATTGACTTCAAAAAAATTTTTAATATCATCAATTGACTTCAAAAAAGAGCTTTTCTGAGGTTATAATGATTTTTAAAATTTTTTATTTAATTATTATATTTAGGCGCATATAGTCTTTTTGCTATGTACTAAAATTATTAGTTAATTTGTTAGCATGTTTTTAGGTAAGAAAGAAAACAAATACGGTCTTTTTGCTTTGAAGTATGAGAGAATATATGTTAATAAAGTAAATTTCGGTCCGAAGTCATTTTTTTTCACCTTTTCACTGTCTATTTTGTAAGTAGGGCAGTAAGTAGGGCAGAGCCTGTGAAGAAATGAAATTCAAAATGGCTAATAAACTAAATTAAAGTATAGGACAAACGATATAATTTTTTGCGTTGTTTTATTTTCTTCTCATAATTTTTGATCATTTCTTCGTCTAAGGCATCGTTATTGATCATTTTATCAAGTCCTGTCAGTAAAAAGCTAAATTTTGAGTCGAGATCGAATGTATTATATGGTAAAGGTGGTAAAGGTTTTTGGGCTGCTTCGATTGTTTGCACTTCAATGGCGTTACCTTCGTTAAGGTCTTTCATTTCAATGAAACCGACACGTCGATTAGTCTTAAAAAAAGATAACATATTTTATTATACCAAAACAAATCGTAACGTAATAACGCGATAAAAATCATAAATTGAAAAATATATAACAATTTCAATTAAAAGATAAGTACCGATTAATTAAAATTATAAAAAATGATCTCATCTCTCTATTTTTTTCTTTCTCGCTTTCAATTCTCTATTTGGAAGCATGGCATTAAATATGGCACAGTTAATGGCAAATTAACAATTGTTTAATAACGATATAGCTTAATAATTCTTATTGATAATATAAATCAATAAGTATTTTATTATTTTTTAAAAGTTTTTTTTAAACAGTATTTGGAACTTTCATTTACTTTTCTAAATTAATTGACAAAACATTTTTGATTAATTAAAAAAACAGTTCATTTATTAATTAACACAACATTTCAATTAATTAACAAAACATTTAATAAACAAAAATTTTTTTATTAACAAAACATTTCATTAAAGTGAAACAACATTTATGTAAATAATAAAACACACCTAAATGCGTAACACATCGCAAAAAAAAAAAAAAAATTTAGATGTTTTTCTTTTATTTCTATTTTTCTTTTATTTTTCTTTTATTTTCTATTTTTCTTTAAAACTTGAATGAGAAAAAACCTAATATAGGAATACAAATTACGAATTGTTTTACTTGTATACTTTAAAAACGAAATTTATGAGATAAACAAAAAGAGACTGGAACGAAATTTATGAGATAAACAAAAAGAGACTGGAACGAAATTTATTAGATAAACAAAAAGAGACTGGAAACACTTTACAATTAAAAACAAAGAAACTCTTTTTTTTTTTTTTTGTAAGAATGTTTATACTTTAAGAAAATAAATTCAACTTTTTTTCTTAAGTTTTGCTTTTAATATTTTTATTTTTTAGTTTTATAAACGTGTCTATATGTATTACAAAATCTATATAATTAAAGTTAAAAATATTTCTTTGACATTTTTTTGAATTGACTAGCACAAATTTGGCAAGTTGAAGGAGTTGATATTTTTAACTTTAAATTTTAATTTAAAATATAAATTATTCACAAGCAAATTCTTTACTTAAAAGTTTGATTCACAAGAAAGATTCACATAGAATTTTTTTTAATTAAAAGTTTGTAAAGTTGAAATTATTCCACTGAGTACTATTATTCCACTAGCAACAATATTCTCAAGAAAAATATTTTTCAAATCCAACTAGGTGAATGAATACAAAGTTATTTGTAAAAGTCATGTAACATTTTATACCAGAAATATTCTCTTCAAAAGAAAACCAACTTCTACTCATTTATAATTCATTCAAAAATAATATTAAAGGCATTTAACCTTGCAAAGATAAAGGGCTAATAAATAAAATTTTTATTATAAAGACATAATGAAGTTTTAGCTTCTAAATCCTCCAGGTTTGCCAATCATTATTTTAATAAAAATATTATTTAAATAAGGATGAGTTCAAACGAAGATAATTTATCTATGAAAGAACAAAAAGCATGCAAACGATGTAAACAGGCTGTATGTGCATAAGGGTGTATAGGTGTAATGTGTAAGTTTGTGCTGTTTATGTCGTTCAGTAGAGTCTTGTATTGTTAGTAACCAGCGTAAAAGATTTGTCTCTGAACTAAACCAAGCCAGCCATTGGTTGAAATTAACCAATTAAAATTTCAAGTTTTACTTTGAAAATTTAAGTTTAACATTATTAGGTTATACAAGTTTATGTTTTAATCTGTTAATTTTGAAAATCTACTTAAAAAAATTTAAATAAATATTTACAAAGCAAAAACCAGAAGTGTATCATAATGACCTTTGTCCCTGTGCATGATTCATGTGTAGTATGTGCATAATTATGCATAATTCATGTATATTGATTCGGTGTATTAACCAACATAAAGAACTGTTATTTTATCTAATTAGTTTAAGAATTTAAAACTTATACTTATATGAGAAACATGTTGAATTTTTAAAGATATTTGTTAGTGTGCATTTGTTTAAGGATTGATGCATTATTTACCTCAATTGAATAAAGGCTAGAGAGAACTCCAGGAGAGAACTCCAGGAGAAAACTCCAGGAGAAATTACAAGAGAAAATTCCAAGAGAAATTACAGGAGAAATTATGTACAGCAATCTAAAACAACATGGAAACAAAAAGAGAAAATGAAAATGACAAAAAAGTTAATAAAAAGTTTTACCTTAACTGATTTGTTAAATTTTTTCCACATGTGATTCAGCAAATCTAAATTTTCTGATTTTTTTCTGTTAGCACAATAAGAACTGTTATTTAATATAGATTTAAACATGTGCAATGCATATGCTAACCAATAAAAACTCCACAAAAAAAACCATGCATTTCCCAAACCATATGAAGAATCAGTGATTACTTTATAACCAGGTTTCCACCATCGCATAAACAAAACATAGAAATAAGCTTTTGGAAAAGTTGCGAACTGACTGCAATCAAACAGCTGAAATATTTTATCAAAATTAAATTTTCTAATTCAATTAATCAAAAATAAAGAAATGTTTTTAAAACCAACTGAACAAATAAATGCTAAATAAAAATCCCTTTATCAATTCAATTCCTGTAATAATGCATACAAACTTACCAGCATTGCTACTCCAGTAAAAATTAAAGATACAAGAGCGTGGATTAAAGAAAAATAAACCAGTTCTTTAGCAGCTGAAGAAAGTGACTGAGAGCAATAAAGATAACTACTAAAGAGTTGAAATAAACGAATGTTCTAAAAAGAAAGTTTATATAAAAAAAACATAAACAAATTTTAAAAGTTATTATCTAATATTTAACATTCATTATAATTTTTTGCAAGACCCTGGATGACATACTTAAAATTTTTTTTATATAAAACATGTTTAGTGTTTTATATAAAATTGTTTTATATAAAACACGTTTAGTGTTTTATATTCTAATAATCTACCATTCTAACAATCTATGTACTACCATCCTAAAGATTTTTAGGATGTTAGTACAATGATTATTAGAATGGTAGTACATTGATTTTTAGGATGGTATTACACAAATTTTCCCATTGACTCAAGATTTTCTTTTATACATTTTGTGAGTCTATTTAAAAAAATTTGTTTTCTGTGTGGTTATCAGTTCCTTCATTTGCATTTATCTTCATTGTTTTACTTGTACTTTTTTATTTGCCAGGTTGTATAAGCAAAGTAATGTATATATATATATATATATATATATATATATATATATATATATATATATATATATATATATATATATATATATATATATATATATATATATATATATATATGTATATATATATATATGTATGTATGTATGTATTTGAGGGTTTGGGAGCAATCTTTTCTTTTATTATTCTTTGTTTTTTCCTTCCTTTTTTTGAAAATTCATATTTAATTAATGTAACAAAAACAAAAATATGGTAACAATTTGTTACATAAATCAGGCTATCACAGGAAGGCGTGCATTTCATGTCTTTATATGACCACGCAAGTTACATTTTGTTATGACGGTTTGACCGCAGCTAATTCAAAAAACATTTTAAAAAAGCGCTAAATAAAAATATTCTAAAAAAGTGAAATTAATTACATCAAAACTTCTTAACAAATGTTTTTATATTAGCGAAACGATTTTAAATAAAGTAACAATTTACTGAAAAAAAGTTTTGTTTTTTAAATATAATTGACAGTTGTATATATTTTTTAAATTTAAAACATATAAATTGTTCAAGTGTTTATTTGTAAAATAAATCTTATTAAAAAATAAAAAATTGTTTTGTTTTCATAAACGATGACATTCTACAATTACGAAAGTCTCTTTAACGAATTTAGATATAAGAACGATTAAAGTTAATGCATTTAAAAGATAAACAAAATTTTGTTAAAAAAAAAATTTATGAAACCGTTACAATTTAATGTTTGATCTTAAATGCTTTTATATTATTGAAACGCTTTTAATGAAGTAAAAAAACACTTCTAATTAATTTAAAAAAAAGTCTTTTTAAATTAATTGGTCATTACTAAAATGTTTTTTTTATTTTATTTATATAACTATGTATTTTTTATGAGAAATGTTTAACTTTTGAACATATTAAATAAATAAAAAATATATACAAATGTTGAAACAAAGATTGAAATGGTTTTTTAATGGGTAATTTAAATAGACTAAGCATTTTAGTTTGATGAGTTTTGTTTTAGTTGAGTTGCATATATAACTTATTTTTTTTTGTTTTTGCTATAACTAAGTACTTTTTTTATTTTCTCTTTCGTTAAGATTTTTTTTTTTTACAATTTTTTGTTCCAGATAAGTTAAGGTAAGTTTTTGTAACGTGTTTTTAAATTTTGAAAATATGCTGTGGTCAAATTGTTAAAACATATTATTTTTTATGTGGTCATATAAAGGCGTGAAATCACACGCCTTCCTGTGAAAGCCTGTAAATAATTAAATAAAATTTTTATAAACAATATGCGATAGTAGGTAACAATTTGTTACCTACTATCTAAATGTTTTTGCTTTGTTACAGATTTTACTTAGTATAATAATTATATCCTTCGAAAAAACAATAACTAAAAAATAATCACCCGAATAATAACAAGAAATCCAAGGAAACCAATTACATAAATAACAGTATTGTTTAAAATAGCAGACGTGTAGCTGTTCAAACTACAAGAGACTATTCCACTATCTCTTTTATTTCGATGATACAAAACATATACAATATGCATAACTACAACAGTTATAGCCATATTTATGAAAAAAATCATCAAAGCAGAGTGCAATTTCCAGAAACCTTTCAACACTTTCCATCCAATATGATAACTTTTTTTAGCTTTCTTTGAAAAAATTATTAGCATGACTATAAACAACAAAACTAAACAAAATATTATAAAATAATCTGAGGTCTTATCAAAGAAATTAGAGCGATAGTAAATAATATCAAATCCAACTTTATCGTAACCAGGAGACATGAAGTATTTAAGACTAACATAAACGCAATCTGATGATCTTGAATTAGCAAAAATGACTTCAAGTTTTACAGAAGTTTCAAGTGTATCGTACCACTTTAAAGATTTTAATAAACTAATAAACTTTGTTATTGATGATGAATTAGTCAAATCCATTTTCCATTGGTGACTTACTTGGGCAAAACTTGTTACATTTTCTTTGTTAATAAAAGTAGTAAGGTTAGAAACCATATGACATTTTGTTGTATTTCCAAGTACTGCATATATTGGATTAAAACATCCTCCAATAAAACACCCATTTATTATAACTAATGGATGAGAAGCTATCAACCAAGTTTTGTTTGGTTGCATGTAGAGAAAAGGGATCCAAGAGTTTTCAAACCATGACCAATAACTGTGCATGCTAAATACAAATAGTAAATTTTTATTAATTATTTTGCTGATGCAGCACAACTAGGTTACTATATGATATAATATAATTCTATGACAATCATGGATAAAACTGATAGGAAAAAAAATATAGAGTCTAATGTATCCAATTTACATTTGCTAAAAAATTGATCAGAATAATATATGATATATAATTTAAATGTCTAATCACCTGTTAACAGTTTCTATACTAGTTGGTGAATTCCAGGTGTTTTGGAAAAACTTTGATGTTGCGTAAGATGAAGAATCTGGAAGTATTAACCAACAAACACTCATTACTGTCCACATAAGAATTGCTTGAGATAAAAATAATTTAGCCAACTGACGAATTTTTTTGTCTTTTAAACCAAAGCGTTGAGCAATTTCTAATGAATATCCAGTTAAGGGTGATACAGTGTTTGTTCCGACATTTTTTTCAGATAAATCATTACTAAAGTAAATTGATTTGAACTATATTTAAAACAGAGTTGAAAATTTCCCCAGAATTTATATATATATATATATATATATATATATATATATATATATATATATATATATATATATATATATATATATATATATATATATATATATATATATATTGAATTGAAAATTTCACCAGAATTTATATATATATATATATATATATATATATATATATATATATATATATATATATATATATATATATATAAATTCTGGTGAAATTTTCAATTCAATATATATATATATATATATATAATATATATATATATATATATATATATATATATAAATTCTGGTGAAATTTTCAATTCAATATATATATATATATATATATATATATATATATATATATATATATATATATATATATATATATATATATATATATAAGCAATTTTAAAATGTATCTACAAATTAGAGTGCTCAATGTTCTTAAAAGAACAGAGCAATAAATATTAGTAAGTAAAGATTGTAAATTATCATTAGTTTTTTTTTTTAAACATCTTTGCTTCCAACAAGGCTGCAAGCAACCACTAATTAGTGTCGGAAGTTACTGGAAGAGAAAAGATGAAGATTATAGAGCAAGATACCGATTGACAGATGACTTAAAAGATTGCAAATTATATGAAAGCAAGATGAAGGAAGCAAATTCCAAAGAATTGATGTTTGAGGAAAAAAACTAGACAAATAAGAGTTTTTGGAGCACTTAAGAACAGTCACGAAAAAAGGATGAGACTTAATTTAAATTTTAATGGCACAAGGGTCGCTAGCTCTTTTTATAGTCGAAGTTTGTTTCTCCAAGCCTTATCTTTTGTTAACTTGTCTAATGCAGCGCCCATTATAATATTTGTAAAAAAGAGAAAGAGAAGCAACATGTCAAGAGCCATGGCTTAACCTCTCCACCTTTATCTAATGCACGATAAAACCTATCAGTTATTACTGTTAGCAAATCAGCGGTAGAACAAGAAGATCAAAATCCATATTGATGATCAGAAAGTAAGTTATTAGATTCAAGATGAGAGATTAAGTGTTTATTAATTAAAGATTCAAAAACTTATGATAGGAAGCAGACTAATGGGATGGTAATTTAACAAACCAGATTGCTCTCCAGAATTTTTTAAAAATAAGGATAACAGATGCTGCATTCCAGCAGGCTGGAAAACAAGATTCTGATAAGCACTTGTTGAATAGTTTTGAAAGGATAGATGACAGCTCAGGAAAACACTTCTGCAAGAATATAACAGGTATGTTGTCTGGGCCACAAGCTGTAGAAGAGTTTTAGCAGGAAATCACTTTAGATACTGAAGATGGAGTGATACGAATGTCAAGTAATGGATTTATATTTTAATACTTTGACGGCTATATCAGCTCTACTTAATATAGCCGTCAAACCTATTTGAAAGCTATATCAGGTAGAACGCAACTAGTGGAATCAAGAGATGATATTGATGAAAAATTAGCAAACAATTCAGCTTTGTCTTCAGGTGAGGTGACAAAGTCCGAACCATACAAGAGAGGTGGAATTACAGACTTGCCTTTATTATTGATACTATTAAAGACTCTCCAGAAGTTGAAATATGAGATTTCATGACCTGAGAATAGCGGGCTTTGGCGTAAGAAAAAACTTTTTTACAATGGTTTCTAGCAGTAATAAACAGACGTCTGTTTTCTGGAGAATTGTTTTGCTGATAGATATGGAAGTAACAGTTTTGATTGGCTATTGCAGCAGCACAATGTGAGGAAAACCATGGGGAAGAGCGAGGCTTGACCAGGAATCGTTGAAAGGGAATAAAAGAATTCATGCCAGCCAGAATCCACAAAGTTATGTAAGAAGCACATTTGTCAACAGGAAGAGGAAAGATTTCTATCCAAGGGCCATCACAGAGAAAACCACAGAAAGAGTCCCAGTCAGCTTTAAGGAAGTAGTAAGAGGTACGATGATAGGGGGGATTCTGATGATGAAGAATGAGATAATAGTTTTAGAGAGATCAAACTGTGATCAGAGGCAATGTGGAGAAACTGAGCACTGACTAGGATCAGAATTAAGACATAAGTCAAGTAGAGAAGGTAAATGCTTTGGGTTGTCTGGAAAATGAATTGGAAAGTTAACTATTTGAGTTAGGGATTGAGAAAGGCAGAAATTGTGGGCCTTAATGCCTGCAGAGTCACTTACAACAACAATATTGGCTGATGGATAAAGAGAGAGGGCTTGGTCAGTATGATCAGAAATAACATCAAGAAGAGTGCAGTCTTGAATTGAATATAAAAAAAAAAGAAAGGGCAATAAAGTGAAGTGGTGCTTAACAAAAGCACATAAAAGAATCTGTGGATTCAAACCTAGTTTCCTAACAAAAGGCTGTGGATTCAAACCTAGTTTCCTGACAAACAGGTGAATTTTTACGAATGTAAATGCCTAGGCCAAGCATGTGACTATTGGAGTCTTTACGAATTAAAGGAAGTTAACCATCAACACTAAGATCACAAGATGAGACAGCTGAACTCAAATTAGTCTCACAAAGAGCAAGTAGGTGAAGTTTCTAGTTAACTTTGCAAGAGATTCAAGACTTTTGCAAGACTCAACAGAAGAAAAGTTACTTCGAAGACTTATACTTCGAAGGAATATTAGTGAATATTAGTGACAATGGTTTTTTGTGTTTTATAGATTTTGATACTTAATTCATTTTTAAATTTGTTAAAGAACTCGACTCAAAGTATAGATAGTACTCAGTACACTGTTTAATAGCCCAAGCAATTGCCCTATTACTATTAATAAACTTTAGGCCATAACAAAGGGCTCCAATACGACCTTGGCAATGCACACCAAAAGTACAAACAGGGATACCAACTATGATCAACATGGCACTGTTAATACTTTGTTATTTTTCAGCTGTTGATAAAATAAGCCTCTCTGAGAGCTATCACAGAGTTCTACAAACCTAACTACCAGCCAGCCTCAGAACCATAAAACTGAGTTTATGTGAAATCTTTTTTCTATTTAAGAAAGACGTTTTTCATAATTTTTATTATTTTGGTAAGTTCACAATAACTTAACTTTTTGGCTATTACCTAACAAAGTAGCTCTTAGCTTAATTCTTAACAAAACATTTTTAAAACAAAACACTATTTTAGCATGTAGTAGTTTTTTTTAGCCTTCTAGATCCTGCATGATGTTAAATGCAACTTGTTGCTTTAAATGTTTCAGAGTAGTTCTGATGCAACCATTTAAAAATTTTAACTTTTTAGTAGACAAATTTTATTAATAGAAATTTTATTAATATTATTGCACTTATTAATAGAAAATATATTGCTTTAGTTTTAACAGAATAGATGCATGTAGATGCATTTAAATCATGGTTAAATCAAGGAAAGAGAAAGAACTAAACAGAACTGCATAGTACAGATCGGCATAGTTCTATCAGTAGAATTGATGATTAATTTAAAAAAAAAAGGTAGCTGTTTCAACAAGACATGTGCATCTAAGAACACATTTCAGACAATCAAAGTATGGATGAAAGAAAAATAGTAGATTTTCTAATTTATTGTTGTGCCTAGCTCTATGTAGTTTAGCAAGGTTTTGGAGTTTAGCGTAAAAAGTAAAAGAAAAAAAGAAAAAAGAGATAAAAAGAGTAGCCTTCTCAACTGTAACAAGGCTCTGGAGCCTTGGGGTGGAGAAATTAAAAAAAAAAAAACAATAACAAGAAACAAGCAAACAAAAAACCATGTTGGGGACTGTTTTTAATACTAGTTGTTTATTTTTGTTGCAGCAATTTACAATAATGTCTATATATACAATTGTATGTTTTAATATATCATCCAAGATGCAAGATTTACATAACTTTTCTTGCAAATAAATAAAAATTATATCAATATTTTCTTTTGTTTTTAATTTAAGATTCAAATAAACTTAACAAAATCTTAATGTTTCTTTTTTTTTGTCTAGGGGTAGTTGCAAAAAACTTTAAAAAACTGCATTTATCTCATATAACTTTTTTTTTTTCAATTTTTATCGGGGTTATAAAACAGATTTTAGTGATGTACTAAACCAACATTGATAAATATAATATAAAAAACTTAGTTGTTCCACAATAGTGAAACAAAAATGAAAAAAAAAATGTTGCAACTTACCCTGCACCGGGGCAATTTGCAACAGTGAACAGGGTAAGTTGTAACACAATACTTTGAAAGTATAAGCCTTGCAGAGTTTAAAGAAATATTACAAGTTAATCTTTAATATCATTTGGCAACAAAAATTTTATAATTACATTAAAGGAAAGTATTTTCATTGAGCTGCAATACTTTCATTATGAGAGAATTTACATACACCTAACTTGTTTATATATATATATATATATATATATATATATATATATATATATATATATATATATATATATATATATATATATATATATATATATATATATATGTAGGGCCGTGCAGAGGGTGAGTCACCTGAGCAAATTGCTTAGGGCCCCGGACCCTATAGGGGCCCCCAACAGCAGCAATAACATTTGGGAGTTTTTTTCCTTCTTTTTTTCCCCATCAAGATCTTTAACTTAAATAATAATAAAATAGCTCATTAAGTTTAATAAAAGTTGCAGCAAAAAATCTTCTATGATGTGAAGAGTTTGCTAAACAAAAGACAAGAAAAATAACACTGTAAGAAACAAAAGCTGGACTATTTAATTGTACTTATATATCATTAATATAATCAAAAAGTTTAAGCAGGGTTTTTTTGGGAGTAAGGGGGTGGGCCCCCAAACTGAAGAATGCTCGGGGCCCCCAAATTCTGTGCACGGCCCTGTATATATATCGTCACTGAAACTGCAAAACCTTGTATGTGATTTTTTTGTAATTGTGATGATAAGTGGTTTTTCTTTCATATTCATAGCCAATGCAATTAAGTGTTTTATCACATGACAAATTGAAAACATCTCATTGATCAGACTGTTACAAGGTTTTGCGAGTATATTTATACCACTTTATAGAAACATTTTACATCATAAACAGTAATAGGCCAATATGATGTTTACAATTTATTTGATTAAATTTAATTAAAATTCTTTTAAAAATTTAAAAACGCTTTGTTTTACAACTTTTGTTACTGATAAAATTTTCAAAATTTATGTTAAAGTAAAAAAAAAATTTAATATATTTAATTCCAGTAACTTTAAAATGATCGCATTAGATATAACTTCATTTTAATTTCAGTTAAGTTTCAGGTATATTCTAGTTCCAAATACTGGTCTAAATAATGCGCTTTTGTAGTTAATAAATGACGTCACACAAAAAAGTTCTTTCAAACTCGAGTTTAAATGTTGTTTGGGTTTTCCCTTTGGCGTTAAGTTTTATGCAGTAGAATTTTTTTTATAAAACAAACCAAACCTTAAACCGAATAAAAATAACGCAATAATAATTAAAAATAAGCCAAACTTATATTTATTTTGTTTTAAAAACAAAACTAATACTATAAATATAAGATATGTAAATTTTAAAATTATGCTAATATTTGTTAAAAACAAGTTCTGCTAATAACATCTTATAACCGAAAATACTATTTTTCTTTTTGGATTTAGTAAGAAACAGTAAAAATACTTTAGGTTTACATAAAAATAAAATATTTTAATGGAAATAAAAAAAAAAATAAAGCTGAAAATTGGTAATCTTTGTTTAATTACAATTTTTAATTTAATTAAAAGCCAGGTTTTTTAAAAAGGGGAAAACCCAATCTAACTGTGTAGAAGTACACTTAAATAACTTCAAAAAAATCAACCATAAACAAGTACCCACTCATTTAAAAAAAATAACCGTAAAAAAAATGATTTAAAGAAAAAAAATTTAGTTTAAAATTTAATCTGTAAATAAGTGTAAGATTTTAAAACAAGGAAATTATTTTTTAATCAACATTTAAATTTAATTTATAACTTTTTTTTATAACAATATAGTTTAATTTTAAGCTATTTTATTTAAAAGACTTACAATAATTTCTAATCTGTTTTTGAATTAAATTACAATGAGGTATTTTAAAATACGCAACTGACGCATTTAAACTTTTAATGATGTAAATAGCTTTTTTTAATAAAATTACATTAATTCAGGTTGCGCTTTTCCGTTCACATCATAATCTCATAACAAGGCCTGATATAAATATATTTGTTAAAAATGCATACCATTCTACAAAATATATTTGTTAAAAATGCATACCATTCTACAAAATCTCATAACAAGGCCTGATATAAATATATTTGTTAAAAATACATACCATTCTACAAAATATATTTGTTAAAAATGCATACCAAAATGCATACTCTACAAAATAGATATATTTGTTAAAAATGCATACCATTCTACAAAATCATAATGATCAATTTGATCAAGATCCAACGGTTTGATGATTGCAACAACTACTGTCAATAAAATCAACTAAAAACAATATTAAAAAACTTTATTAATTTAAAATAAACTAATTGATTTTAGGTGCAGTAGTATTATTTATCAAAAGGTTTCAAAAGGTTGTTAAGGAGTTAAAAGGTTGTTAAGGAGTTAAAAGGTTGTTAAGGAGTTAAAAGGTTGTTAAGGAGTTAAAAGGTTGTTAAGGAGTTAAAAGGTTGTTAAGGAGTTCAAAAGGTTGTTAAGTTCAAGTTAAAGGTTGAGAGGGGTAAAAAAAAAAAAACACATTTTAAAACAAAAGGACTAAAACAACTAAACAACTAAAAAACAAAAGGAGCACCTTTTGTTTTTTAGTTGTTTAAAAAAATACCAAAATTGTTTAAACAAAAACACATTGTAATAACTGTACATTTTATACATGTACTGAATGGAATCAGTTTTTGAATATTAAGCTAATCACTCAAGTAGTGTGATTTTATAGAAAAACATAACAATGAAATTTTATATGAAAACATACTGTTAATTTATATAAAAAAAGCAGAAATAGTTAAACAAAGTTTAACTATTTCTGCTTTTTAGTTTCAAATTCAAAGTTAAGTCAAATTAACTAGTCACAAGTCTTTATAATCATCTTTATAACCAGTCTTTTTCATTTTAATTTTTTTTTATTCCTAATTTTTTCTTGCTCTGATATTGTAATTTTTAAAATTTTATTAAAATATAGAATATATTTTAATAAAATATATTTAATAAAATATATATACGCATACCATTCAAATGTTATGCGCATAATATGCATATGATGCATATACAAATTTAATCGATAAATGGTGTGTGAAATTAATGCCAAATATAAAAATCTTCTACTACTACCATCTGCAAATCTTCTGCACAGATTTGGATTTAAATGAAAGTAGTGTTGATATGATATATTTTTCTAAAGCTTTTGATAAAGAGCCACACCGACAATTATTGCTTAAGTTATCAATGTATGGTTTAAATAAAAAATTGCTAAATTAGATTGAGGCTTTTCTAACGAATAAGAGGCAAAGGGTAGCTATGGGTCATAATGTGTCAGATCGGGTGATTGTAACAAGTGGTGTGTACTGCAGGGATCTGTTCCTGGACCAACTCTATTTGTATTATACATAAACAACTTACAAAGAGAATTCGAAACTAGAGGTTTATTTATGCTGATGATACTGAGTTAATAAAACCTATAAAACCAAACATTTAAAGGATTCGCTAGAACTTATTAACAAAATTTTAACTAGGTACAACATGTGGTTTATGGAACTAAATAACGTTAGGTGCATGGTTATGCACATAGGTAAAAAAACCCAAATCATGAATACTCAAACACAAATACTAATGGGTGTATTTTCAAAGTTAAAAAAGCTGAAACAATAAGAGATATAGGAGTTAGTATATCCAAAGACTTATGCAAATGTAAATTAAATAGTAGCAAAAGCAAATAGTATACTTGGGCTTTTGAAGCATACATTTCAATTGAGAAACAAGCACAAAAGGCTATATACCATTTATCTATGCATTTATGCCTGCATCTAGAATTTCCTATGCCTTCATGGAGACCACATCTTGAAGGAGATATCTTGAAATTGAACAAGTTCGGCAAAAAGCTACGAAAGTTGCACACTGTATGAAAAATCTTTTGTATAAAGAGCGAATAAATAGACTTATTGTAACAATGCTGGAAATAAGAAGAAATTGAGGAAAACTGATCCAAATGTTTAAGCTAGAAAATCATTTAGAAAAATTAGACTGGAACACCATTAACAGGAAATATTAGAGGAAATTTTGTACAAGAAACTCATTTGACATTCAGTCATTTGACATAATTCTTTTAAAAATAGAATTATTAAGGAGTGGAACAATCTACCGAATGACATTAAAACATCAAAATCAGTCTATGAATTTAAGGTTTTATTTGACAGGCTAAGCTCTGGCTGCTATAGCGCACCATTATATACTATTTACTGCACAGTTAGTTTATATAAATTTATATTTATAAGTACTCTATGAAATATTATTTATGCAGAAATATATATTACTATATATAATAAATGCGTAAACATAAAATAAACTATATTGTTACTTTGCTAGTTGTGTTTTTGTGAAAACGTTTAATATGTTAGATATGACATCTATATTGATATCATATCAAGTCTTTACTTAAGATTAGTTTATTATGTTTTTAAAAAAACTTGAAATTCTTTTTATAAAATGTATACTGATATTAATTGACAAAAACGGCACAAGTTTTTTTTATGCTATTTCAAGCCCTGATATTATTACTATAAATGTATTGGACAATTTTAATTGAACTGCAGTGCAGTGGGAAAGTAAAGTATATGGGAAGGTATATATATACTAAGGTAGGTATATATATACTAAGGAAGGTATATATATACTAAGTTTAAGTACTTCATAAAAAAGAAGTTTAAGCTTAAGAACATAAATAAACATAAATTTAGTTTGTATTTCGGAGCCGAAGGGTTGAGGTAGTAAAAAATATACTTCAAAAGTCTATTTATCTTTTATAACTCTTATAGTGGATCCAATTATTTCAGGGTTGGCAAAAACCCGGGTTTTTTTTTAAAAACCCAGACCAGTGGGGTTTTTTGGGTTTTATTGGGTAAATTTGGGTTTTTTTGGGTTTAATTTTTATTTTGTCCCTGTAAAAAATTTGTGTGTGTTTTTGTTTAATGATATTGAAAATTAGTTTCATTTTCTACTTTAACTTTATTTAAAATATATTTTATATATTGTTGTTTAATTATTTATAACAAGAATTTTTCAAATTATTTTGAAAAAGATTTTTAAATATAATTTAAAACTGTAATAGAAAAAAAAAAATTCACGCTTAATCTATATATATTGATTTATTTTAAATTTAAAAGTATTATTCTATATAATTAAAAATGTCAATGAGAAAATGGGAAAAAGAAGGCTAGAGAATGGGAGGTAATAACTGAAGTTTCAATTAAACTTTGAACTTGAAATTTAAATGAACAAACTTGTTCCTCTGCGCAGCGGCCTTGTTTATAAAGATTCGTGTTTAGGAGTTAAAAAGTTTTTTTTTTTTAAATCAATTCACTTCCTCAAGGTTTAAAACCACTACAGGCGAGGAGGCTATTTATCTGTGGTTATAACCCTCTCTCAACTCTATAACTCCGAAACATGAACCTTGACGAACAAGGCCGCTGCGCGGTCAAAGGAGTTAAGCGCGGTACTGCCAGGGACGTAGTGGGGATTGAACTTGGAACCTCTCACTTATGAAGCAAGCATTCTACCACAACACCACTACCGCGTAAGAGTTGAGAGAGGATTGTAACCACAACAAGGTAGCCTCCTCGACTGTTGTGTTGGCTTCTCTGGTCACTACTACTCATTTAAATTCAACTTGGGAGGTGAATAACATAAAGTAATAAAAATCTCAATCAATAAAAATATTTGAATAAAAATTGTAATAATGTATTTCTAAATAATGATTTAAATAATAGTAAACCTGCTCTGATAGCTGTTATTGTTGGTTATAATAAATAATAATAATAGTTAATAATAATTTAGTTAATAATAATAGTTAATAATTATTTTAGTTAATAATATTATAGTTATAATGCTAAAGTTGTTTATAATAGTTCATAAACTTAATCAATATCTTTAAAAAAACCCAATAAAACCCAGTTTTTCCAGGGTTTTATTGGGTTTTTTTAGGCGGGTTTTTTTGAGTTTTATTGGGCGGGTTTTTTTGGGCGGGTTTTTTAATGCTAACCCTGAATTATTTTTTTAAATAGATTGATATTATTAGGTCCAGTATTAGAGACTTGAAATACATTGTTATGTATATTATGAACACAGTTGACTCTTGATATCTCGAACTCTCAGGACGACCAAGAGAAAAATTCGAGATATCGAGAGGTTGAGTTATTGAAAGAACTTTGGCTCAAATGAGTGTGCAAAGAACAGGAAATAAAGTTCGAGATATCGAGTAGTCGAAATATTGAGAGCCAACTGTTTAAGTTGGTTTGTAATCCACAGATGTTCGCATGGTCTCTAATAATATATATATAATACAAGAAAACTTGAAGGTAACTAATCCTAATACTTTGGAGTTTTGTAGTACAATTAAGTTCATGCCATTTAGAGTTGTTTTTAACTGCAAATAAAAACATCTCTAATTTTATAAAACATCTAGACATATGAAAAAGATATTTCAATAAATGGATTGTATAATATTATCATATCTATAACATAATTCAATGTTATATTATTCATTTTTATAATGTTATAAATATTTATAATATTATTCAATGTTATATTATTCAATTTTATAATGTTATGAATATTTATAAGCATTATCCATTGATAACTATTATTAAGAAACAACTAAATAAAACATAAAATTAAAAAAAAAAAAAAAAAACTGAAAATTATAAACAGTATTAAAACATATATAATGCCCTTAACATAAACAAAACCACAAACATAAACAAAACCACAAACATAAACAAAACCACAAAGATAAACTAAACCACAAATATAAACAAAACCACAAACATAAACAAAATCACAAACATAAACAAAACCACAAACATAAACAAAACCACAAACATAAACTAAACCACAAACATAAAAAAACCACAAACATAAACAAATTAAAATAAAAATTCTTATCATACCACAAATGGAAAAACAAGAAAAAAATCTCCAATAATTCCAAAGATAAGCATTTTTAGCCATTTTAATGCCAGATCATATCCAAAATATTGTCCATAGACAATTGTAACTAATATTGAAAATAAACTAATAGAAAAGCAACATAGGTAACCCACATAAACAAACAAATGAGGTAGAGTCCAACGTGTACAAGAATCATATTCATGAATTTCTAAAAAAAAAATTTATATTCTTACCAATTCTTTTAGAACCTATTTTTTTTACATTTAATGTTTAGTCAAACTTTCAAAAATTCAAGTTTAGATGACATAGTATGCATTTAAAGAACCCAAACAAACAGGACATCATGGTTTTTAATAATTTTAAACCAATACTTTTCAATAACATTAACCAAAAAATACACATATCAAATATCAAGATTAAACACAGTACTCACGTCAAGTTAGTTCTTTATTTATATAACTTGTAGAATCTATATAGCTATATACAATTTGTAGAATCTATATAGCTATATATAATTTTCAGAATCTATATGGCTATATATACTATATATACAAATTATTTTTGAATTTTAAACAATTTCTTTTGATTTGAATACTAGTTGCTCAGTAACTTTTGATTTTGTATTTGATACAAAGGTCTGACCATAAAAATTAGAAATGAGGCAATTTTTTGCAGACCTTAAACACTTTCAGGTCAGCAGTTAGGCATTGCTGAATGCCGACCCTAATTTCGAGGGTTGCTAGTTAAATACTTTATACCATCAAAGTTATCAACATTTATTGCAAAATTGTCATTAGAAAATTATCTGTTCTCTTACAGAAATTTTAAAAAACAAAAAATTTTTAGAAAAATTTTGAGGGAAAATATTTGAAGTAATTTTTTGGGTGATTCAAACTCTGAAACTCAAATCAAAAATTTTTATTAGAATAAAAAATATGTTGACGACATTTTTAAATATTGTGAAAAACAAAGGAACTTTAATTATCGTTTCTTATAAAGAACTAAAAAATTATTTAAAATAGAAATTTAATAGACTTTTCTTTGAATCACTGTCTCCTGGTAAAATTACCTGGAATACTGAGCTTCTCTGCCAAAATTTCATTTTTTTTAATAAGTGTACTTGTATCATTGTCTGGGTAAAAAATACCACTTGAGTGATCAGACTTAACATCCTCATGATTTTCTTCAATAAGTTGATCAAACATAGAAGATATCTGCTTTCTAAAAAAATTTTGTTAAGTAGTTAATAACAAATAAGTGACTATAAAATAAAAAATTGTTATTAAAAATTATATTAAAAGGCAATGCTTAGTAAGTTTATTAATTCATAAATAACAAATTATTAATATCAAAAGTTCTATAACTCTATAAAATTATTTTATTATTTTTATTTCTATGTACAATTTCTCTCTGATTCAATTCTCATTTTCCATAAGAACAATTATAAATGATAATTATAAAACTTTTAATATGAAAGTTTTTTTCTACTCTGCCATATAAACACTTATTATATAAAACATGAGAAATTTAACATTTCAGAAGTTAAACATGTTTCTAAACATTATATATTACATATACATAAAAAATATTTTACTTTAAATTTTTTTGGAAACAGCTGAAGGTAATAACCAGTTTGGATAGAAATAATTTTTTTGGAAACAGCTGAAGGTAATAACCAGTTTTGATAAAAATAATTTTTGATAAAACTGTTATTATTTAATTTTTCAAATAATGGAATTTTAGAATTTTAATGTTAAAAAATTATTTCAAACTTTTTAAAACTGCTCAACTAAATTTAAATTAAAAATTTTTTTTTTCAAGAACTAGTAACATCAAGTTTAACATAATTCTAAAATAAAGAATCACATTTTTATTCTGAGTAAATCTTTAAATTTAGATACCAATCTTGGAATTGAAGATACAAGTGCTTACTGAAACCTAGAGATTAAAAACCTTGTTTAATTTAGAGAAATAAGGACCTTTAAGAAAAACCTTAGTAGAGCTTTAAAAATAAATTTCTACTTTTTTTTTTTTTTTTCTATTTCATTTTCAGCAAAACAATTAAAAAAATATTTACTAGAAACTTTTTTTAGACCCCTTGTAGTGTACCTATGAGTAAAGAAAGTTTAAATGTAAAGGTGTAAAATGAAAATTAGTAATTTATTGATACAAAAAAAAGTAAATGTTATAATTAAAACCAAAAATTTAAAAAAAAAAAAAAGTCTAAATAGGTATTAGCACAAACCTAATTATTCCTTCAGATCGGTTGTTTAGTTGGGTTTCAGAAAATCGCAACTTCATTAAACTTTCTTCTAAATCATTAGTGTTTAAATTTTTCTTTATAGTATAAAGAGATTGAGTTCGCGTCAGTTCATAAGCCTTTTCATTTTGACTGTCTTTCAAATTTTTATAAAAAGCATTTAGTTTACCAAAACTTCCTCTATAAACCTTTTTTTTACTGGCATTAAAGGAATGAGGTAATAATAAAACGTTTTCAATATCTGAACCACTAGATTCATTTGAAATGGCTGCATTGTTATTTTGTTGGCTTTCTTCTTTTAACATTATATCTAAGTTATTAAATCTGTTTTCTAAATAGTAACAAAAAAACTTATACTTCATACAAATAACAAAGTACAATTTTTTACGACAATATTATGTACAGCAATATTTATAAAATATTGCACACATAATATTGTGACAAACTCACATATTGCATGTTTAAATTATGGGTATAATGGAAATATTTAATTTAATTTTAGTTTATTATGATTTTAACTTGTGCTTAAATGCTTTACTTAAAGCTAATATACGTACGAAAATAACTTAAAAAAACCTCTTTCCAAAATAGTATGAACATTCTTAAACTTTTTTTTTCTTCGAACTAATGAATCAACAACATCTACATCAAAAATTTCTTTATCACCAGAAAGAAAAGGCTTTGCATCTAGTTCAACAATATCCATCGTAGTTCGATTTTGTTGATGCCAAACTTTTAACTTTTTTTTTGGCACCTATAATATTTTTAAATACAACTAGATAGATAAAGATTTTACTGGTGTTATTATTTTTGTTGTTATTATTATTAATAATTCATAATAATAATAATAATAATAATAATAATAATAATAATAATAATAATAAATAAATAATCATTATAATAATTACTGCTACTGCAACTACTACTATTACAACTACTATTACTACAACTACAACAGCAACTACTACTGCTACAACAACAACTACTACTACAACAACAACTACTACTACAATAACAACTACTACAACAACAACTACTACTACAATAACAACTACTACTACAACAACTACTACTACTACAACAACAACAACAACTACAACAACTACTACTACTACAACAACAACAACTACTACTACTTCTACTTCTACTACTACTACTACTACTACTACTACTACTACTACTACTACTACTACTACTACTACTACTACTACTACTACTACTACTACTACTACTACTACTACTACTACTACTACTACTACTACTTTTGCTTTGCCTTGCCTTGCCTAATTAAGTTTTGAATTTGAACTTACATACTTACATTTCTTTGTCTACTTTTCTTAAACAGCAATACAAAAAGAAGATTAATAGGAAAAACCATAGCAACAGTAATAAAAGAAATAGCAACTTCTTCTAAAGAATATCCCTGAAATCCAATATAAAGATCAATTTTTCCATCAGGTGCAACCTGAAACCACATGGCATTTACTGCCATCCAACTCAATATTAATGTGACCAAACAGGTAAGGCGTTGAACACGTGAAAATCTAATATGCAAAACTTTTCAAATTAACCAAATAAAAATTAAAAAATAGTTTTTATAAATAATATAAAAATAGAATTATAGAAATTAGTACTCCCTCCATTCCGAAATACTGTTTTGATTTGCATTCAATGTAAATAATTATTGAAAAATAAATTAAGTTTTTATTTTTTACTTTTTACATAAACTTATATTTTTTTTGAACATTTAATACACCATTAGTATTGCATTTTCAAAAAAAAAAATTTTATGTAAAAAATAAAAAAATAACGACATAATTTATTTTTCAATAATTCTTTGTTTAATGCAAATCAAAACAGTTTTTTGAAACAGAGTATTATTTTTGAGCTTTAACTATTATAACCTGCTAAATTTAGGTCTTTCAAATATAGATAACCAAAGATGAAAATCATTAAACATTCTTAGAAGAACATCAAAGAATATTGTGGAGAACTTCTGCATCTCTATCATGTTAGCCACATAAAAATCAGCTTCTAAGGTTCCATCTTCAAAATCTACACCTAGCCAACTAAAGCAAAATAACACAAAAAATAAATATTCTCATATTCATCAACATAATTAAAATAGGATAATTGCAGAACTCAGTACTTGGACCATATATAGGGTAGATTAGGGTAATATAAGCACTTTGGTAATATGAATTAAAATTTGATCTTTTAATGAAAAGTTTTGTTAAAAAAAAATCATTATATTCCGAAAATTAGTTCTAATGTAAAAAAAATACCAACCTGACAAAGGTTGGAATTTTTTTACTTAAACAATGATATTTTTTTGAGCTAATTTAAAGTGCTCATATTACCAAGTGGTCTGGGGAATATAAGCACTTTTGCTACTTTTTTAAAACCTCTGGGGTTTTAAAAAAAATTTCGAGTGCGCAAATATCAAGTGGATCATGAGTAGGAATCCCTAAAAATTGTTTATTTGCAAAAAATTTGGATCCAGCATAATTGTTTTTAAATATATTTCAATTAACTATTCATACTTTAAAATCCTGTTGACTTAAACTATTTTTTGCTCATATATAACTTCAAAAAAAATTTACTTAGAAAAAATAAAACCTCTTTACCTTTTGATATTCCAAGAATCATTTGAAAGTTTTACATAATTTTTAGTTTGAAACTAGTTATAATAAAAAAGTTGAAAATAGGATATATTTAATTAAGTTATACCTACCGATTACAGAAAAAAAAGAATTTTTCTCCATTAAAAAGACTTCTTATAACTACACGTTCAATATACCAAGATGGACTTAATCCACTGTTATCGTGCCAAAGATGAATTTTGTGAATTTTACCAACACTAAAACATAAATAAAAAATATAATACTTTAGATAAAATTTTTCAAAGCTGATTCTTTATTCCATAATCTTTGTTGGCTTCTTGCTTTAGAAAAAAAGATTTCCTAATTCTAAATTCTTTTTTGTTGTTAAAGTGCTCAAATATTATTTTGTTGTTGTTGTTGTTTAAGTGCTCTGTAAATAAGTGATGAAAAGCATTTTATTAAAGGACCACCTTTTGATGGAACACTGCCGTTTCTAATGTTTCAAAACAGCATTGCTTTGTTTATTGCAAAGACAGTGTCTTAAACCTACTAGAAGCTCAGGATATCCTGACAAAAGCAAATCACTGCGGCCGCCCAGTAGACTACATAGATTTACATAGATTTTACAAAGGGATTATACAAAGTATCACACAAACTCATCAGGGTTAGGGGTTAGAGTCTTCACAAGTTATGAGATTTCGGCATTCAAGGCACACTCATAGAATTAACTTCTAACATCTCATCATGAATTTAACAACTTTTTTTCTGACAACCAATACAGATTTCGATATTCTCAATCTACTATTAATTTGTTACTCCTATGGGCAGAAAGGGGGTTATCCTGGGCTAATAGAATGTTTAGAGCAAAAGGCTATTGTTTTTTTTTTTCAATTTTTTTGTGAATAAATTTATTTGCATTAATTTGTTAATTAACTTTAAAAGTTGTGTTATTAAATTTCATCTTTCTTTGCTAATCTTAATGTTAAAGTTACCTTTACCAATGTTGCTTATAATGGACATCTTTTGTCCATTATAATATACTTATAATGGACAAAAGATGTACTTTTTCATTTTCAGTTTTTTTTCAAAAACTTAACACAAATCTCATTTTTAAATTGCTTTACTGATAAATGGGAACATTCTTACTGAATCTTCTGAGGTCTTTGTGGATTGTGACTATCAATTGTGGATTCACAATTGATAGTCATAAAATACAGTGCTTTCCTCCAACAGGGTAAATTTTGATTAACTATTTTTTTCGGTGGGTAATTGATATTGCTGCTTTTAACAAAATGTTGTAATATTTAATTTAACTTATTTTTTTTTTAGATTTTAAAACTTATTTTAGATAATAATCATTTTGTGGAAGGTAAGGAATTCTTTTAATCCATCCTTTTTTTAAAGAAACTTGTTCCTTAAATTTACATAAAGATAATGCTGTTATAATATTTTTATATTAATTTGTGGCAGTGATCTTTCTCTAACCAGCTCAGCATATACATCATACTGACTATGTTTATGTATATACTGACTGTTGGAACATAAACAAAGTTGAATCATAACAAGTTGAACAAAGCTTATCATAACAAGTTACAAACAAGAACAAACAAACAAGAACAAAGTTTATCATAACAAGTTACAAACAAGAACAAACAAACAAGAACAAAGTTTATCATAACAAGTTACAAACAAGAACAAACAAACAAGAACAAAGTTTATCATAACAAGTTGAACAAGTTGAACAAAGTTTGTAACAATATGATTAAGACATTCATAAGAGTTTTTTATTTTTTATCATTTGTAAAATGCAGTAAAAAAAATTTTAACCAGAATATGTTATAGAGTCAGTAAAACACCTTCTAAAGATGATTTTGAAGGTCATTTATATTAAACTGTTTATTATATTTAAGTGTTTAAAACATATGCTAATATAGTTAAAGAAATTGACCAGGAACAATATAAAAGGTAAAAGCTACAAAATTAAAAAGGGGTCTATTCAAATACTAAAAACATTGTGATTTTTCTTAATTACATTATTTAAGTTTTCTTAAACAAATGATTAAAACATTATTGCTTATTGCATTAAAAACTAGAAACACCATTAAATTAAATTATTTTTAACCCAAATCAAACTTTAGTTAATGATAAAATAAAATTATTTAAAAAAAAAATGTTATTACCTTTTATGTAATGAAATTCTAAAAATATCCAACCCATTTCTTAGAAAATGATTGTTTGAATTTATAACACGCACTTTGGTGGTGCAACTTGTTCCAAAAATTTGTATTCCAATTTTAGCAGTTGAACCTAATAAATACAACTAGACAATTTTATTTTTACTTGATTTTATTTGAAAAAAAAAAAAAAGTACAAAGTAATTTTTTACAGACCAGGTATTATTAAATTTACAGACTAGGTATTATTAAAACTACTTTTATGTAACACTTAAAAAACAGATAAAGTAAAGTGGTGATGGATATTGTACTTTTATCAATTTGATTTAAGCAAAGACAAAAAGAGTAAATGATAAGGTAAAGAATTTCATATTTTAATAACCAGAAAAAAATCTGTGTGTATCATGTATAATTATAAACTATTAAGGGATATAAGATCATAACAAATAGTAAAAAAAATGTCATAGACAAAGTCAATAAAGTAAAGTATAAATAGCAAAACTTGCACAAATTGAACCATGTTTCACCTTTTAACAAAACATTAGTGTACAATTAAAAAGATAGTTGCACATCCAATCAAGTCTTTGTTGTTTATACTGTTAAAATGTCATAGATCAAACTTCTTTCTAAGGCATTTGTGAAAGTTGATTTTAAAAGTAATAAAGTAATACAATGATATAAAGTGTTGAAAAATGTATTTGAGATTGAAATTGAATTACTTTAAAAAATGTTTTTGTGACAGCATTTTGATATTAGCTCATTTTGTAATGAGCAAATATAAAAAAAGGTATCATAAAAAACTTATATCTATATGTATATCCACACATAAACTTTTGTTTATTCATTTATTTATAATAAGTAATGATAAAATATATAAAAATAATAAAAAGAAGCAACCTTAGCAGATGGTTAGATATATGGCTTTCATGAGAGGTCATAAGTAAAAGATAATCTAAATATAGATAAGGAAGATCATTAATATGATTTTCCTTACCTATTTTTGGATTATCTTTTAAGGACCAAGAATGGAACCTTTTGGAATCGCAGAAATTAATGGAAATGAATGAAAGTGATGGCCATGAAAAATAGCTTCAATATTCCAATAAGTAAAGAATGATTTAATAATTTCAAATACTTTTCTAATCCAATATATATGGCAAGTTATGGAAAAGACCAGCATGCCAGACTTAATTGAAAGCCAATTGAAATTGGATTGAAAAGCAATAGCCCTTGCCTCACCATGCCAATCTAATGCATAATAAAACCTTGCTTTTATAACAGTTAAAAGTCATTCATGGAACAAGTGGATTGAAATTTTTATTGATAGCCAGAGAGTAAGCTGTTTAACAGCTTACTTTCTTACTATGAGATATTCATAAATATGAGATATTCATCTTGAGCAATAGCAGAGTTTTTAAAAAAGAAAGCTCAATTTTGGGCAGAGACACAAAAATCAATAACCCTAAAACCATCACAAAGAAAATCACAAAAAGAAACCCAGTCAGCCATAAAGAACTAGTAAGAATTGAGATGATCACTGAATCTGATGTAAAAGTAATATGAATGTGATGATAGGGTGAATCTGTTGTAAAAGTAATATGAGATAAAAGTGAGAACATAGCGTGAGTGAAATCATAGCGTGATTGAAGTTTGAGTGAGATCATAGCATGATTGAAAGTTTGAGGGAGATCATAGCGTGATTGATCTAAAAAAGAACAAAGAAAAACTAAGCAACAGCTTAGAGTCAAGACATGAATTAAGGAGTGAAGGCAAGTGAAACAATAAAACTTTAATTTTGTTTAAAATTTTAAAACAATAAAACTTTAATTTTTGTTTAAAATTTGTTTTAATTTTGTTTTAAATTTTTTTAATTTACTGGGGCAAAAAATTCCATTATGTTAAGTGAAAAATAGTTAGGTAGACCCTTTAAAAGTGACTTCAAATATTTTGTTTGTGACTTACTCAAGATTTTTTAAATTACATTTTTACATACAAGCACTACATTAAGCTTGTACGTTAGTTTGTAATTATTTTTTTATTTTAACAAGAATATTATTTTTCATAATATTTTTGTTTGAAAACAACACTAAAAAAATACTGGGAAGTTGTTTTGTCTGTATAAAAAGCTTGTGTTAACTTTTCAAAACATTTACCTAATTATCTATTTAACTTTAGCAAATTTTACTTTACGATATGATATGAAATCCTTCAACTTTAGATCTGTTGTTTATTTTTAACTATACATCCTTTGAATCTAAATCTGAAGAATTTAAAAGCCAAAAAATTAATAAAAAATTGTCAGTCTTAGATTTTTGATAATTCAAAGTACTGACATAAGTTTATAAGTTCTACCAGCTATATTTAACTCCATAAATACTTGCTGAACTGAATCATATTAGTAAATTTCTAATTTTATTTTTTTTCTTTAATAATTTATAGATAAATAGAAATATAATTTAATTTTATTTTTATTAAACAAATATTTATACAAGATGAACATTTTAGCAAAAGCTGTTGTTAAAATGTCCTGATATCAAAACTTGTATAAAATTTATGTGAAGATCTTTTTTTACTAAAGTAACATATAAAAAAAAAATTTATTTTGAAAAGTAAAAACATTTTAACTTCTTTTCAAAAAGAAGTTAAAAAAAATGTTTTTACTCTTCCTAGCTTTCTTTTTTCCTTACTTCTTTAGAAAAGTTTTATAATTTCTTTGGGAAGGAATTATAAAGTTTAAAAGATTAGATCAAACAAAACAATTATTTTCCAAACTCTTGTTTGATTCTTGGATCTTCCACTTTTTCACCACAATTTCCACTAAAAAGTTATTTTGTGTGTTTTATTGATTTATTCTAAATGTAAAATAATTCTTAAAATTGCAACAAATTTTTTCCCAAATATTTGCAAATAATTCTACATAATAGAAATTAAATTGTGATACTTTTATCATTAATGATATTTATTGCACGCAATTGTAAAGATTTTAAATGGTTATTTTTAGTTGCTGTAAAATTTAAATTAGCAATACAATTAAAAGCAGAATAATCATTTTTTGGTAGAGTATGAATTAATGTGTTCTTTTGTGGAGTATGCATTGATGTGTTCTTTTGTGGAGTATGTATTGATGTGTTCTTTTGTGGAGTATGCATTGATGTGTTTTTTTGTGGAGTATGCATTGATGTGTTTTTTTGTGGAGTATGCATTGATGTGCTTTTGTGGAGTATGCATTGATGTGTTTTTTTGTGGAGTATGCATTGATGTGCTTTTGTGGAGTATGCATTGATGTGCTTTTGTGGAGTATGCATTGATGTGCTTTTGTGGAGTATGCATTGATGTGCTTTTGTGGAGTATGCATTGATGTGTTTTTTTGTGGAGTATGCATTGATGTGCTTTTGTGGAGTATGCATTGATGTGCTTTTGTGGAGTATGCATTGATGTGTTTTTTTGTGGAGTATGCATTGATGTGTTTTTTTGTGGAGTATGCATTGATGTGCTTTTGTGGAGTATGCATTGATGTGTTTTTTTGTGGAGTATGCATTGATGTGCTTTTGTGGAGTATGCATTGATGTGCTTTTGTGGAGTATGCATTGATGTGCTTTTGTGGAGTATGCATTGATGTGTTTTTTTGTGGAGTATGCATTGATGTGTTTTTTTGTGGAGTATGCATTGATGTGCTTTTGTGGAGTATGCATTGATGTGTTTTTTTGTGGAGTATGCATTGATGTGTTTTTTTGTGGAGTATGCATTGATGTGCTTTTGTGGAGTATGCATTGATGTGTTTTTTTGTGGAGTATGCATTGATGTGCTTTTGTGGAGTATGCATTGATGTGCTTTTGTGGAGTATGCATTGATGTGCTTTTGTGGAGTATGCATTGATGTGCTTTTGTGGAGTATGCATTGATGTGCTTTTGTGGAGTATGCATTGATGTGCTTTTGTGGAGTATGCATTGATGTGCTTTTGTGGAGTATGCATTGATGTGTTTTTTTGTGGAGTATGCATTGATGTGTTTTTTTGTGGAGTATGCATTGATGTGCTTTTGTGGAGTATGCATTGATGTGTTTTTTTGTGGAGTATGCATTGATGTGCTTTTGTGGAGTATGCATTGATGTGTTTTTTGTGGAGTATGCATTGATGTGCTTTTGTGGAGTATGCATTGATGTGCTTTTGTGGAGTATGCATTGATGTGTTTTTTTGTGGAGTATGCATTGATGTGCTTTTGTGGAGTATGCATTGATGTGTTTTTTTGTGGAGTATGCATTGATGTGCTTTTGTGGAGTATGCATTGATGTGTTTTTTTGTGGAGTATGCATTGATGTGTTTTTGAGAGCTGTAGAATAACATTATATGTGAAAAAACTATTTTATAAATTCTGTTAAAATGGTCATTCATTGTAAGAGGGTAGATGATGAAATCAAAAACCTATTCACACATAGACTGACTTAAACATGTAGAACAGGCAGGGAGTGTACATACATCAACTGACTAAATAGGTAGAATATGCAGGAAATGTAAATATATTGACTGACTTAAATAGGTAAAACATGCAGGGAGCATACATACATCACCTGACTAAATAGGTAGAACATTCAGGGATTGTTCATACATCGACTGACTAAATAAGGTAGAACATGCAGGGAGTGTTTATACATCGACTGACTAAATAGGTAGAGCATGCAGGGTATGTACATACATCGACTACGGATTTTGGTTTTGGGCAGGCAATAAGTTAAAAAAATAGTTTTTGTTAAAAACGTTTAAAAATTGATGCAAACACTTATTTTATTATATTCCAGCCATCAATTTACACAAACCTTCAAACTTCTAGATTTTTGATTATATTAACTACCTTGTAAGAGTTGGATCGATAGTGGTACCACTTGGTGCTGTGTAGCTGTTAATGTTATCAAAAGTTAGCATTAATTCTTTTTGGCATTTCATTTTGATTTTGCTATGTGAGAAAAATAATACTCTCTGTTTTGTTCTTTTTTAACTTTTTAAACATTTTAAGTTAGTTACTAAGTCACCAGTAAATACAAAAAAATATTCAGCAGTAAGTACATAAGTATATAAGCAGTATAACTAATATCAATGTTTAACTTTTTAATTTTTTTAACTTTTTAATATTAACTTTTATTAAAATTTTTTTAAATTTTTTATGTGGAAAATAAAATCATAGATATAATGTCATCTGTAAACTTTATTACTTCAGCGTATTTGACAAAGTCAATAAAGTAAAGTATAAATAGCAAAACTTGCACAAATTGAACCATGTTTCACCTTTTAACAAAACATTAGTGTACAATTAAAAAGATAGTTGCACATCCAATCAAGTCTTTGTTGTTTATACTGTTAGCAGATAATTTACTAAGCAGATGAGTGTGACACAGGATATCAAACATTTTGGATTTAAATTAAATATAAGTCAAATTTAAACTAAAAATTGAAATAACTATTTTTTTAAATGTTTAAACTATTTTTTTTAAATAAGATAAAAAATACCAAAAAGCACATTATTTACTAATTTTTTTTTTAAATGCGTTTGAAAATATAAAAACCAAAAGAAAAAAAAAGATCGCTTTTAGCAGAAATTCTGTTAAAACCGATCAATGTAAAATACATTTAATAAATTCAACATTTTATAAATCTAAATTTATATATTGATATATTTTTTTATATAGCATACAGACATAAGTTATATATTTTTTATATATCATACAGAAATAATAAAAGATTTAAGTTTTTTACATTTTTATCAACAAAAACAATCTGAACCCTATACAAATTGTTTTAGCAAACATGTTTTGTTACAGAGCCAAGTATTGCAATTTGGATTCTCCTTTGAGATCATGTCCAAATGTAATACTTTCTTACACTTTTTGAATTTAATAACTTTTCTACTTTTGGATGAAGGCGATGTAATCGGTTCTATATTTTGAATTACTTTTTTTTCTGCAGGGTTTGGCAATGACATTATGAGTTTGCAGATGGTTTTATGTTTTGAAGCTTTTTTTTTCGAAAAAAATTGAGTTGCTTAATTTCTTTTTTTCTGAAATGATCTGCAACATCGTGTTCTGTAACACATTGATCAGCAATTTTTGGAATATTAGGTTGTCTCAATTTTTTTACATGAGACTGATTTTTTTCTTGAAAAAAAATTTTCTCATTTTGATTTTCATTCTTTCATGTAGTGCTCCCTACTTGTCAAAACTTAAAACTGCTGTTGCTGGTTCAGAAGATTATGCTAAAGACTTTATTGTTGGTAATAGTGTTGAAAATGTTGGTTGATTAAACGTTTTGGAGATAGTTAATGCCTGTTGATTGATTTTGTTTTTGTTAAGTGGAAATAACCCAGTATATTCAAAACCAGAAATAGTGTGCTAACGTACAAAACACTTACCGCTCTCATACACCTGTTTGAGCAACAGAAGAAAATTTTCTTTATCTAAGTATTTGCATTTTGTTTCTTTGTAATATTTGGTAAGAACTGCCTTCTACACTTACTTAACATGGCAATAGACACCTCTGTCCAGTGGCTGAGGAATGTGAGATAAGCAGGCTGGTAGACAATTTACATTATTTTCCGGACAATACAGCTACTAAATTGAGGTGAAACGTATGTCCATCAAGATGTAAATTATAAGTACCACTAATAGCTTGACATTTTAGTATATATATATACTTCCTTTAACCATTCAATAAATGTGTCGTGCTCCATCCAACCAGAATTAGAAATTGAATAATTGGTGTCAGTCGGACCACCTAAAGCCCACTCAGTTATAAAGTTTCGTTTTGCTTTGTATACCACGAATGGTGGTGTAAAGTATCCATCAGCATTACAGCAATTGTTCACTGTATAACAAGTTATTTCATTGTTACCAGTGAGTTTCAAAACACGCTTTGTACTTTTTGGACATACCGCAGTTGCTTTACCTTGATCACCAAAGAAACCCATTTTATCACAATTCCAAATGAGACAACCAGAAAATTTACCAGACATTTGATGTTGTTTAATGAAAACTTCAAAATAATTTTCAATTATTTCTTGCGTACAAGAAGCAGTTCTGGCAGATGTTAAATTGTAAGTTTTTCTTGTGGAAATTTCTTTAGACCATCGATTCATAAATGCACAAAACCAGTCTTTTCCAGGCCTGCTGTTTTTAAATAATAGGCCTAATTGACTTGTAAGAAGTGGGTAACCACATACAAAGTCCATGACATCATTTTGTGTTAAACCTTCAACCCCAATCACATAGGAGCTTAAAAGCATGCACCATCATTGACTCTGTTTGCTGTGAGAGTATGGTTGTTGAGCATGATCCCTTGAAGCTAGCATTGTTGTTGTTCTTGCAACCAATTAGAGTTAAGAATGGAATACCATATTTGAATGCAGCTTTTCTGATTTAAGTATTTTTTCTTTTGTATCATATAACGCAGCTTTTATATCTTCTTCATTGTATGACTTTTTATCTTGAAAGTGAATTAAGTGATTCTTGTAAAATAACTTTATATAGGAAGAACCTGGAGCTAACACATGAGAAATCCCAACAATTGATTTCACATAGGTACCTAATTTAAAAATTCACACACTACTTAATAAAAGAATTTAATGTAAATATTTTAATGATTGGTTTTACCAGAAAAATGTAATATTAATTTTTCTTACTTTTTTTTCTAATTTTTAACTATAATGTAAAAAAATTATGTAACAGTATTCAAGTTAAATTTTCTACAAAAAAATTTAATTTTAATTTTTTACTAATTAAAGGGGTAAAAACTATTTTTAAACAAATTATGGTTCTCGAGTTATTATGATAAAAGTTATTATGATAAATTACAATTCTCTTTTAAACTTTTTTTTATGGTATATGGTAAATTCTTGTTTCTATGATTTATGGTAAAACCTTTGTATTAAATTTAGCCGAATTGATGTCGACCTTTAAAAGATTAAGATCAGCAAAATATTGCCAACCATTTTTTTCATTCAAACTTGATATCTGCAGTTAACTATTTTAATAAATTCAAAAAAGAAAATCCTTTCGGGACACATTTTTAACAACTTATTAATATTAAAATAAATGGAAAGATATATATATATATATATATATATATATATATATATATATATATATATATATATATATATATATATATATATATGTATATATATATATATATATATATATATATATATATATATATATATATATATATATATATATATATACATATATATATATACACACAAAAATATATCTAATCAAGATGAAAACATTTTTAAAATTTTGAAACTATAAAAACATACCTGCAAATGGGTATGGTCCAGTTTTAAACCGAATTTCATACTGATAAAACCCATCATCGCCACCAATAAACGGAATGATATGTTCTCCTTTCTGCTCACGCTTATCGCATCGGTAAGCAATAAATAAACCAATCATATAAAGTAAGACAACACAAAGACATGTAACAAATGCTACAGGATTCGTTTGGATGTCTAATTTCTATTTAAAAAAATTAAAAGCTTAATTTTAAAAATCTGACAAATAAAATTTTTACAACTAAAAAAAAAAAACTTTGAGTATTATAATTTATTTTTAATTCTTAATGCACTTGTTATAGTCCACCAAGTTACAAAGTCCACCTAAACTTGCCAAGCCCACTCAAGATTTATACTGATTGAACCATACTTTGCTAATATAATATTTCCATTCTTTTTAATTTACTTATTAACTCCTCCAAGTTGACCAAGCCCACCAAAGATAAAACTTATATAACATGAAAAGTTAGAACCAAGATGAAACTTTTATTTCAAATGTTTACAAGTCAAACAAAAAAATATTATCAAACTTATTTTTTAATATATGTACATTTTTTAATTACCTTTAGTAATGAGAAGTTCAATGGATTTGGTTGCAGTTGAAATGAACCTGTAAACGAAGTAAGATGATTACACTTGCAAACAATATTGCTTGGTGTTGAATCTTGTGTTGGAATGCATCCTGTACTATCCCAAATGTATTGCATTGTGTTCCAATACAGACAGTGGCTTGTATAAACATATACATTCAAGGAAATATTGTTGGAAAAGTCATGCTCGATTCCCAAATAATAAACCGAACTCAAAGAGTAATTACTAAATGAAAAATTACAATATAGTTGTATTTGTTTGTAGTATAGTTTTTTCAATAAATAAAAAAAAAAGAAAAGAGAGTTCTTGTTTTTTAAAACAATTTAAAAAGATTTACAAAGCATGCAAACTTGATTTGAAAGCTTATTAAGTGTTTTTTTAACTCTTTCGATACCAAAGGAACATTGAAATCCAAACAGATAAACTTTAATTTATATAGTTTCATCTGCTGGTCATTAAAATGTTAGTGGCCAATCTTGTCTATTAATCCTACAACCAACAGAAAACCTGATATATCAAATTACAAAATTATTTTACCTTTAATCATTTTAGATTTTGGAAACGTTTAAATGTTGCTGAAACAATGTTGTTTGTGGCCAAAATTTACGGCCTTGTTTAAAGTCATAGGATACTTTTTATACTTTTTATTATAATCTATACACTTTTATTATGATTTAAAACATTTTAAAGTTGTTGTTTTTTTCTATATACTCTTTGAACTACAGTTAATTGATAAATATAGCTAAGACTTCAATGTGCAGACAGTGATTTTTTTACTAATTTTTTTTTTGTAATAAATTTTTGATTTCAAAGACTTGTTTTATTTTTCAATTTAAATTGTGAGAAACTGTTATTGTTTTTAGAAACAAGTTGTTAACAAAAATGTTAGAAAAATATTTTGCATTACTTTAATTAAAAGAAGTGGCACTGATAATGCAAGAAGATATACTTTTAGATAATTCAAATGAAATTAAAGAAAGTGATGAAGATATTTCAAGATGAAAACGTTTTTAAAATTTAGAAACTATAAAAACATACCTGCAAATGGGTATGGTAAATTATCTATAGAGAAAGATTTTGCATTACTTTATGAAGTGTTAGAACTTGAATCAACATTAAATAAAAATTTTAAATACCAAATGTAATACAGCTTATGGCCATATATTCAATATCAATGAAAAAAAATTGTCAATGATAAATTAAAAAAAATAAAGCAGAAATGATAAATTAAAAAAAATAAATCACCTGTCAGTGATTATTTTATTGATTGCAATGACAAGAAAGACTATTTTAAAGTATATCATCCGAAAAACACACAATAAAAAGCCTTTATTTTCAATAAATTAGTTATTTGTATTCCTAGGTATTAATTTTTAAAGGGTTATCAACTCCTTTCAAATTATCTTTCATGAAGTAAGTTTTTACAACTATTAAAGAACATTCATTTAAACAATAAAAATTTTAACAACACAGATAAACTATGCAAAATATTTTTTATTGACAAATTAAATGAAAATTTTAAGAAACATTGGAACCCAAATGAGTATATGAGTATTGATGAAAGCATGGTCCTATTTAAAGAGAGAAGCTCTTTAAAGCAGTATAACCCCATGAAATCTATCAAAAGAGGTTATAAAATATGTGCATGTGCTGATATAGATGGTTATATCTCAAAATTTATTATATATCAAAGAAAGAATAGTGAAATTGAATATATATATATATATACCGAAATGCTTTTGTCTTAGTGAGAAATTATATATACATATAATTTCGATTAGTGGTGGTAGGAAAGAGTGGAGGGGGTGTAGAAGGTAGATAATGTATTGATACATGCATTCCACTGTTAACTCATCCATATTTGCTTACATCATGAAATTTTGAAATCAATTTTATTACAAAACAGTTTTTTGTTTACAAAACTCTAACTTTTAAATTTGATCACTTCAAACCGTGAAAATACTATACAAAAATACAACTGGAAGAAGTTAAAACTATGTAATGATGTATTTTTAATATAATATTTAGAAGTATTTAAAAACACAACATTAGATTTGGATTAGACATCTTGGTCCACAAGAGGTATCAAAAGGGTTAAATAGCTTTACATGTTAATAGGTTGAATGACTTTCTATTTAAAAAAAACAACCTATTTCTATTTTTTTTTAAAAAAACAAAAATTCTAATTAGGTAACTCTATAAAAAATTAATGACTTTTCAAAATAAACAAAAAATAAAATATTTTTTAATACTGATTTGAATTCTATAATGACTGAAATATTACCTTAAAATATATAAAAATTAACAGCATGCAAATATGTTTGCAATTATAATGTTTTATATGCTTTAATTTCATTGCACTATTATTTTGTACAATCTAAAACATGTTTTATTTTTACTGATAGTTTCGTACAAACAAGTAAAAGGTTGAACAAGTTGCACTATACAGGATTTGAAAGAAAACTCTATAATATTTCCTACAAACTTTTTATACAAATTTAATACAAATTTGCAAAAATAAGTATGACTCAGATTTAAATTTTTTTTTTTTTAATTTAAAAGTTAATTTAAAGTTAGTAAACAAACAAGAATGTCCATAAAAAAAAATAAAGTTTAAAAAATTAAAAAAAAAAGATCAATAAAAAAATCATAAAAAATTTACTAACCTTCCCGGTAAAAATATACTTCTTGCTTTGATATCATCCTCTGAACCAAAAGTTAACACTATTGGTTTATTAGATTCTGTCAAATTTACATTTTCTGACAAATAAACATAGACTTTTCCTTTGCCACTATACTCCACTATGTCAAACAACACATTGACTGCACTTTCATTAAAATAGGAAATGTTCTCAAACAATGGCAGCTTAGAGATGTACACGCTACTCGGTTTAATAATAAAACTTGAATTTGAAACTGAAGTATCTAATTCTGCAGGAATATTTAATAAAATTTGTTCTTTTTCACTAAGATTGCTGATAGGTAATTCTGTAAAGCTTGCATTTTTATAAGAAAATGTGAGTACTGATTTAGATCCTTTTTCAAATTTAAAAGGATTGAATGGAGAACACTCTAATATTTGAGAAAGATCAGAATAATTTGAAATTTGAGAAATATTTGAAAAAACAGAACACATCCCCACTTGAACATCTCCATTCAAAAGAGACCCTGTGTTTCGTCTTAAACTGGTAAAAATGTAATTGCTTTCTAATCCCTTTCCAAGTTCTCCTGGCAAAGTGGTGGATAAAATTATTTCATAGAGGTGATTCAATAAGTTCAAATTTAGATTTTCCACTGAACGACGCTTTCGTTTATCATTATCATCAAAGTCTATTTTAGTATTACTAGATATTACTCTAAAAATTGGCAAATAAGATGTTTCATCTAAACTAAATCCTTCATTTGAAAATAAATCAGCAAGGTTAAGAAAACTGGATATCGACAATGTAACAATACTACGAGTACTTCGGTCTAAACCAAACTTGTCACCTGCCATAATTACTAGGTCAAGTGCATTAGAAACTTGGTAGAGAGCATTCATGGAGTCTACTGCAAGTGATGTTGCACCATGTATCAGCTTATTTAAAATACCAGACACTTGTGCACTGTTTGTCATAGTTTTATTAAGTAGCAGCATAGAAGCAATAATAGAAGAAGACATTTTATTAATATCTTTGTAATGCACTGTACTTTCAAAATAAGGTATCAACCATTCATTGAAAAATTTAATGCAATCTGATGTATTTTGTGGAACAACTTGGATAGATCTATTTTATAAAAAACAGAAAAATATAATAATATATATTATATAAGCTCTGAGTCTACATAACTAAAAACAAACTTTAAAAAAGATAACTCAGATGTAATGGATGTATAACTAGTTTCCTTTTTTAAATTTCTTTTAGTAAACCTTTTATTTTATATTTTTTATATATTCTATTATATATATATATATATATATATATATATATATATATATATATATATATATATATATATATATATATATATATATATATATTGTTTAAAACTGTTACAATTTATATAATATAAATTGTTTAAAACTGTTAAATTGTTGATTTAAATTGTTATAAAAAATATTATAAATAAAATTTAATTAGGTTTGAAAAAAAAAAATTTCCTTATTTTATAAAACTTATTTAAATAACTAATATTTATAACCTAATATATTAAATTAATAATATTATTAAAATTATTTAAAAATATTTAAATTTTTTTTTGAATAAGATGATAATCTTATTTGAACTTATTTTTGTAATTAAAACATTCATCTTATGTTTATTTTTTTTAAATGAGGGGGCAAATGTTTATGGTTGAATTCCTTAACATTCAAAAAATAAATAAAAACTATCAACATTTTTTTTAAACATTTTTTAACAAAATCTTTGCATACTTCTTAACAATTTCTAACGTTTATTCTGTGATCAATTCAAAAAATTAATGATAAAGAAAAAACTTTTTTTAAAAAGCAATTTCAAAATTAAAAAAAATTATCTTTTCATAAATTTGTTATATAAAATTTACTAAAAATTTTTTTAAATAAATCTAATAATTTTGTTTACAGGCTTGATTATGGTTTATCCGGCAATGAACATATATATATATTTATTATATATATATATATATATATATATATATATATATATATATATATATATATATATATATATATATATATATCTACATACATAGATACATACATTAGTTACAAATTTTTTAAATTTTTATTGCTGTTTTTTTTTATTGCCTGTTGCTTCTTTAAAGACCATTGAGCACTTTATTTTGTATTATTATACAAAATATAGTGCTCAATGTTTTTATGTTGTATTATTACACAAAATAGAGTGCTCAATTTACTTAAAAGAAGCAAAAAGCAAAGAAAAAAAAGCAATAAAAAATTAAAAAATTAGTAACTTATTATTTACTATTAATTAGTAACTTATTAATTACTGATTTAAATATGAAAAAAAAGGTAATATCAGCAACACAACTGAAAGCTAATTCAGTTGCTTATGTTTTAAGTAAAAATGAAGAACTCCGATATGAGTTTCTTTAATTTAAAACAGCAATGACAAATGAAATTCATATACTTAAAGACAAAAACTCTAGTTTACGTAAACAAATAGAGAATCTTAAAAAAGAGAAATTATTTAAGAAGCAAAAGTAACAGCTCTAGAGTAATAACGATTTAAGTATCATTTCATCACTAACTTTAAAACTTAACACTAGCAACAGCAATCCAACAAACTCCAGCTCAGTTGTTTCTGGAATAGGGAAAGTAACTAGATCAAACAATTAGAATTACTTGATTTAAATGCACATGACATCCAGGAAAGAGAAATAAAACAAAAAAATATTATTATTTTTGATACCATGACATTGTCTTCTCCAGTAGCCATTACTGTATCAAACATGAAAAAGCGCTGGTAACATCACTCTTGAAGAAACTTAATATTGAATGTAAACATGTTGCTATTAAACGTTTCAGAGGTGGCAAAAGCACCTCAGCTCAAGCAGGTCCATTACAAGTAGTTTTTAACAACATAGAAGAAATAAATGCGATTCTCAAAATAAAATAAAATAAAGCTAAGACGCTAAAAGTAGGACAGGGGCTAACACACTTTTAAAAAAATTATTAATGCTATTTTTAAACAAATCTATTTTTACTAATATTTAAATACTTTTTTTTAATATTTTCTTTTAATGATTTAATAATTTTATATGGTGTTATTTATCAAAATACTTTGTATTTATTTAAAAAATTAAAATAGTAAAATTTAATAAATAAAGATAAAAAATTAAATAATAAATCTCTGTGGGAATGGGACTCTTCTACAGCTTGTGGCCCGGACAACATACCGTTAATGTCTTGCAGAAGTGTTCTCCGGAGCTGTCGTCTATCCTTTCAAAACTATTCAACAAGTGCTTATCAGAGTCTTGTTTTCCAGCCTGCTGGAAAGCAGCATCTGTTATCCCTATTTTTAAAAATTATGGAGAGCGATCTGATTCGTCTAACTACCGTCCCATTAGTCATCTTCCTATCATAAGCAAGGTTTTTGAATCTTTAATTAACAATCACTTAATCTTGACATTGTAAACATAGTTGGACCTAACAATCACTTAATCTTGACACATTGTAAACATAGTTGGACCTGCTCTTGCAGCCAACTTTCAACCTCTGTCACATAGTCGTAATATTGCTTCTCTTTCTCTTTTCTACAAATACTATAATAGGCACTGCTCTAAAAAGCTAGCGTCTCTTGTGCCATCTACTAAAATTCACTTAGACTATTAACCTCATCCTTTTTCTGTTACTGTTCCTAAGTGCTCCAAAAACTCTTATTTGCCTAGTTTTTTCCCTTGAACATCAGTTCTTTGGAATTTGCTTCCTTCATCTTGCTTTCCTGATTAATATAATTTGCAATCTTTTAAGTTGTCTGTCAATCGTTATCTTGCTCTACAGCCTTCATCTTTTCTCTTCCAATAACTTCCAACACTAATTAGTGGTTGCTTGCAGCCTTGTTGGAAGCAAAGATGTTTAAAAAAAAAAAATTCCAAGAGCTGTGGTTGAGTCTGCATTTATACTTTTAGAAATTAGGTGCATTTATACTGGGTTAGTTGTTTTAGAAATTTAAATATTGATAAATGTTATGAAACATTACAATCTATCTATATTGAGGGATGCAATTTTCAAAAACCAGAAATTAATTCACATTTTTTTTGTTTTGCACAAATTTTTGAATAAAAGAAGTAATCTCTGCAATAAAAAATAAACTTTATTAAGCAAAGACCGAAACTGGCGTTTAGACACTAAAAAGTATAATAATTGCTGCAAAAAATTAAAAAAAAACTCTTGTTCATTCTTTTACTGAATATGAAAAATATATATCAGAAAAAGTTAAGACAAATCCTAAACTCATCTATTACAAATTAACATAAAACTTAAAGTTGAAAATCAAATAAGATCTATGAAAGAATCAAATGTTACAACTGTTCAAAGTATTATAGCTACAATCCTTAACAATTTCTTTTCATTTGTTTTTACTCCTTTAAGTTTAAGTCAATCATAGCATTCAAGAAATGCATATTCTATGATTGATGAGTCAGTATTAAATAAACTTAATGAGAACTACATACAATCACTACTATCAAAACTCAACTGGCATAAACCACCTGCTGGTTAGATAACTAAATAACATTCACCTGCACATTCTCAACAAATGCTTTTTGAATGTTTTTATCGCTTGGAATCTTTTTTTATCTTATCACTAATTTTTATCACTTTGAATCTTTTTTTTATCTTTATCACTTTGAATTTTGCTTATCACTTAAAAAATCTGTTTCTGAAGGTCTATTCCCAGGTGCGTGGCTGGAAGCTAACAATTACACCTCTTTACAAAAAAGGACCTAAACTTGATGCATCAAACCACATGCCCATTTTTTTAATATCTGTCTGCTGCAAACTACTGGAGCATATTGTAAAATATTAACACTGTATTATCTTTAACTCATCACAGATTTGTTCCAAATATATCGTGTATATACAAATTTATTGGAAACTGTAGATCAGATCTCATATTCAATGGCAAGAGGCTATAGTGTAGGCTTTTATATCTAGATTATAAAAAAGCATTCCTCATGATTTTATGCTCAACAAACTTTCTGGCTATAGTGTCTCTTATATGCTACTAAATAGGATAAAGTCTTTTCTTTCTAACAGAACACAGCGAGTTGTCATGGGTTCTGCTACTTCAAATTGGTTACCAGTCACTAGTGGTTTTCCAAAAGAATCTGTTTTAAGGTCTTTCATATTTGTTTTATAGACCAATGACATTACAGACCTAGTTAAAAATCAAATCATTAGCAAAAAGTAAAAAACCTAATGGTTTATATATTGGCATGTGCTTTATCTGAAAAGTAGAAAAGTGAATGTTATCAATAGTTTTCAATTTTACTTTTATTTACGCAAGTTGTTTCTAGTCAACACTTAGCCCTATAATGAAAAATGACTAGAATATGCGAAAAATTCGCTGAATGCTAAAATTTTTAGAAAAAATAGCGATGGGCAACTCAAAAAGATTTTATGACCTATCTGGTGACCGACCATACATCATACACTCCTGTGTGTGTGCATATATATATATATATATATATATATATATATATATATATATATATATATATATATATATATATATATATATATATATATATATATATATATATATATATATATATATATTTATATATATATATGTAAAATTTAAGTGACATCTTTAATAGTATGTGTATAAGCATTAAATGCTCATATTATTATTATAACAGAGAACATACAATCAACTTTAAATAAAAATGAATGCAGTATTAAAAATTCATCTTTGTTTGTGCCAATGGCAATAGAATGGTTTATTCAAAGACAAAGTTCAGGTCTCATTTGATGTTATCAGTGCAACTTAATAAAGCAACCTTTATGATTATTGATATGTTAAACAAAGAAAGAGTGGAATTAGTACAACCAATTAATTATTTTTAGTAGACATTTATAAACTAATGGATCTCTGTATTAGTAATTTTTTTTTAATGGAAAGACAAAATATATATTCTAAAAAACTCTGGTCCAATAGCTCTGTCCATAATGGTAATCATGTCAGAAGCATATCAATAGCATATTGAACCTAATGCTATTCAACAGGCTTTAAACATCAATATTCCACCCAAAACTTATAAACATTACGTTGATGATAGC